GCTCTGTTCCAGAAAGTAACCATTTCCACTACATTACCGCACTGAATATAAGGTAAAGTAATGATTGGGTTAAGCGGAAATCCGAGTTTTAACATTTTTCCTTCAACACAATGTTCATGACTGGCCTTTACTATTGACAGGGGATTCAATTCAGACTAGCCCTCTAAAATACTCCAACTACAAAGTGTTAATGGTGCCTATACAGTTATGATCACTACATCTGGAAACTGGAGATTCCCACCGAGTGTGATGCTTATCTTCATTCGTTTGACAGTGACACATGTCCACCTTAAAAAAAAGCAATAAAAATTATATGAAGTGCAATAATTTGCAAAAAAAAATGCTTATCTTATTTGTCTCTTCTTTACATTTATAATGCAGAGCACTAGATTTGTGTGTCTGTCATACAAAATGACTTTCAATAATACTATTTAAATATATTTGAAATACAATTTCTTTAATAAATACTCATAGTAATACTAAATTCCTTTTTTGTGATATTTTTTCTGAACACATATGTGCAGACAGTACATTTTGTACACCGGTCTTACTGACCTGTGTGAAACCATTCTAAGCATGATGCCAAGAAAATTTTGGACTTGTGAAGAGGCTGTAAATGACCCAGATTGATCATAAGGTAAACGTGTAACCAACGCTGAAAAGCATTTGACTATATCTCAATCCATTGAGAAGTGGCATCACTTTGAAATCAATTTTGATTGAAAAAATCGAGGCAAGTAGTGATTTTGGCAAATTTTGAGATGTCCCCTCGTTGCCATGGGAACAGAAAATTTAAGCCTGAGCATGTTGTTGCAAGGGCAATGGTCCAGTCAACATGTGCCAAGTTTGATTAGTGTTGAAGCAGTTTTTATAGTATTATAGCAATTTGAACTTGTAACGGGAGACTTTTCAATGGAAACAGCCATTTTCACAAAATGCTCATGAAGTAATGGGTTAAGAAATTTTGCATCTTGATTGGGAAAAATATTTAGTACCATGTACAAAGTTGTTAATCCAACAAATTGTTATATCATTCAAAGCATAAAAATACATAAAAAATTGACAATGGAATGTGTTTTTGAACATCATCATCTGTCTGGTACCATATTGGATTGAAATGGAATGAAGAAAATTGTCACCTTTGATAACGAATTTTGACTTATGATTTTTTTCTAAACTTGGAAAAGAAAAAAAGCATAATTTGGCATTATTTGCCACTGGAAGGGTCTGTTAATCTGACCCGTGTGACACTGGTAAAAATGCATGTTTTCATTCATTTTTTTTTTGGAAAACAGTTTGGTTTGTGAAATATACATTAAATATTATATAAGTACCTGTTGTTTGTAATAATCTTTCTAGTCTTATTTAATCTTATACTGTACTTTTTTCTAGCTACATGTACCAGCCTTTCCAAGTGAATATTAAAGTAAATAATCTTTTATTTCCCTGAAAATATCAATTTAGAGATTTCATTTTCAAAACCATCCAATACTACTCTCTTAGTGTGTGTATATACAGAGACATATAAATACATTTTATGTATTTTAACGTCTCTGGTATATACAATGTATATATGTGTCTATACAATGTATATATATGTTTACACTATAATATGATTGTGTACAGCATGTAATGACATAATTAAAATTTGAAAAATTTATGATAATAAAATATTAATAATATTTCTTCATATTACTCCACAGTATTACCACTAAAATAGAAAATGTTCTATCATTTTATTATGATATCTATTTTTTACATGTAGATTTGTGAAAAAAATGTGAATATCAGCAGTGTCAAAAATTGTTAAATCATATAAAATGTCAAATTAACACTGATAAATTACTTCAACCATGTATTGAGAACAGGTATAGATCATTTCCAACAGTCTTGCTGTTGTGTTGACATTTTCGCGACATGGTTGTGTGTCTGCCTTGTAATCAAGGGGCAGCATGAAATACCCAAATATACCCAAATATACAAAATATTGCCCAAATATTGCCTAAATATACCCAAATATTGCGGAATTATACTAAAAATAAATGTTTTATACTAAAAAAGTGCTGTTTTAATCATGAATACAATATACACTTTCACTAAGATATAATCATGCAAACATACCCAAATATACATTTTCCTATTATTGTGTTTTGAACCAAAATACAGTATATGTACTCCATTAAAGCTATTTTTTAATAACATGGACATTTGTATATGATATGTAATTTCAACAAAATTACACCTTAAAAATGTAGACAACAAATATCATATCTTGAATTAAAATTGCAAGTACATTCATAAAGAACCTATATTGTAGATAAGCAAATGTCACAACTTTATTTTCTTACAACATCTTACAACTGCCCATTTCAACGGAATGAATGAAAGCTTTAGCAGGCTAAGTCATATTATTTTATAAATATTTATTTATTTCTCATTATAATCTATATTTTATACAAACAAAAATAAATATTGCTATATTTGGGTATATTTGGGTATATTTGGGTATTTCGTGCCGCCGTAATCAAGAGGTCTGGGGTTAAAATCCCTTTAAGTGCCTGAAGATTTTTCAAGAATGTGCCCCATTTGGTAGAGACGTAACGGCCGTGACAAGACCAAAAAATTGTAGGCGTATATGCCGGTTTTCCTGTAAAGGCAGACATCTGTGTAATATCAATTTGTAAAATCTGTCGGTTTTGCAGTCTAAGTATGATCGAAATGTCTTGGGTACGAAAGACTCGAGATCTCCAAATTACTTCGAAATTATTTACGAAAGTTTTAGTCCTCGGAAACAAATTGGCATCAATAAATAAACATAATATTATTAGTCATCAAATTCATAACATATTTTGCTTTATAACATACCTTATGAGCTTAACAGGCTGATAATTATGCTCGTGAAGTAGGTCGAAAAATATACCGGAAGTTGTCGGATTCATTTAACCTAATTATCGGCTAATTCAGAGACGAATAGATTATCTACATCTCTGGCTAATTCTATTTCAATATCCACTTTGCAATTATAAACTACAAAATTTATCCGATAAATAATGTCTTTTTCAAAAATTCTGGAATATAATACAAAAAAAATGTGATGATAAGGCGGATGAGTAAGTTAAATATTGCAAGCCGTCAAGCACTATGACCCAATTAATTTACTATCCCATTCATAGAATTATGTGACCTTTCAAATTATATCCGCTACGTTTCTAATACCGTAATTCAAGCTCAATTGCACATTATTTTCAAAAAATAAATTTCTTGTCTCCACTTCTGTTTGCAATAAATCGAAGTTTTCAGAAATTCAGAGCACTATTTTTTCACTCGCGGCGGTTATGCGTCGGTCATGGTCGGGTGATCACTATGAATTCAGCTTAGCTTGATATGTTAGAATACAATATAGCATTTAGAGTGGCGATGAAACGTCACAGCAGTGGGCGTTACCCTGTATGGTTGGAAATTTCGGGTTTGTAAGTGCACTAGTTGGGACTACGTCCCAACTAAAAACTACCTTGTTCATCTAGAGGTTGAGGGTCAGTATACACAAATGGAAAAAATTTCGTACTTTTTCAGATATGATGTTTTCTTTGTTCATAATGTCTAAATGGGATATTTTTCTGTGTTTAGGGCAAAAAACATTTTCTACAAATGTCAGGTAATGTCAGGTAAAGTCTATCTATCTAGAAATGTTTGGAAAAGTTTGTCTATTCCAGGCCTTAGCAAAATTGGAGCAGTCTCTACAGTAAAATCCTTGTTATATAATCCTAACCATAACCCTCTAACCTTAACCAATAGCACTAACCTTAACCCTTAACAATAACCCTAGAAGTGATCTGAGTGATTTTTAGAGAAACATAAACTGATAAATATTAAAGAAATAAATTTGTGTAAAATATTTAAAAAAAAAAATAACATTTTAAACAAATTTATTTCTTTCAAATTTATCCCCTATATGTACTGTTTGATTTACAATATTCCATGTACGTTTTGTTTGATTTACAATTTCCACTATATGTTTTGTTTGATTTACAATATCCCATATACGTTTGCCGGTTCATTCTTGTTATCACCATTACATTTATGATAGTAATATTCATAATCAAAACTGATGTAAATTGATAGAATTTGGATAATTATTATGAATTAAAGAACTTTTCTTCTTAATTAATTGCATTTAAAAGTTAGTCAGAAACTGTTGAACCTAATATTTTTTTGAAAAATGTTGTGTTGATTTAAATCAAATGCTTAAATAAACTTTATTGAGCAACTAGTACTACAGTAAATATCATCATAGCGATTTCCAAATACACATTTGTTTATTTTTCTGTGCCATATACATGTATATTTTATATGCATGTACATATAAAGGTGTAGCCTACATGTATATTTTGTGAAATAAAATTAGAAAAAAAAATTATGATATAACAGTAAACTCGATTTGATGATCACCTCTCCCTAAATTTCAAAACTTCTCCCTGTTTTTCTTGAAGGGAGAAGTCACTTCTCCCTAAATTTTCAGTCCTAGGCAGTCCCTGAAAAATACCTGTGGACATAATTATCTTAAAGTCTAGCCGTAAAATTTAGTTTATAAGTAATTTTTCAGTTCATTGTTATTGCTTTTATACGAATCAAGTTTTACTTTCTTGAACACCTTTATTTGATCTCATTAATATTGTGATGTATGTGATTTATATGTCATTTATTACGTTGACCCTTTATTGGAAATAAAACTTAACTATTAAAGTTGTTCTATTCTATTCTTAACTTATTGTCTTGATATATACTGTATATCATTTTCTCTGAAATTATACTTTATAAGATAATTGCAAACAATATGCTACCAACAATTTTTCACTTTTTATTCGCTAGTGATCGTAACTCTGGTGGGGCCGAAATGCCTCGAAAACGTTTTAATTATGGGACGAATCGGTTGATTACCAAAAATTCTAATCTAACTTATAAAATAAAAATAAACATGTTTACAATATCAAAACACTTACCATAAAGAATGATAAATAAAATCACTTTTCCAGCCATATTTTAATGCGACACAAGCTTACAATTTGTAACAGTTTCAGTTTGCGTCTTCTTGGAAAAGCTTAAGTTAGTCACTTTTTGTATCCGGAACATCTCAACTTCCGCGTCCGTATACTTTGCAGTGATGTACTCAAACTCCTCACAGCGGTTACGTCACGCTTTGCTACGTTACTGTACTGATCAGGGGAAGTAACCGCTGTGGGTTTTTTTTTACTATTATTTATTTATAAACAAAACTCATGGCCCTTAAGGGCATAAGAGTGAACAATCAACAAAACAAAAAATAATAATACAAACATGGCATGAAGTAAATAAGTAAATAAGGAAGATGACTTGTTGAAATTTCAGCATCATTGAATATTATTCAAAGTAGATTTTACTTTCTCGATCCACTGACAATGTAAAATACCCTTTTCATGAAGATTATACATAGTGCGGTACAAAGAAGCACATATTTTATCATTTTTACCATTAACTAATTTACTCCAAAAATTTAACATTCTGCAAGTAATATCATTTTCAATAGGAAATGCACCTAGTTCTCCCAAGACCATAACCGAAGGAGTTGACATCTTAAGTTTAAGTATATATTTATAAAATTTCAATTGAAACTGAGAAATAATGGAATTATTTTCAGATCCCCACATCTCCGACCCATACAATAATATTGGCTTAACCATACTATTAAACAACTGTAACTGAATATCAATTGGCAAACACAATTTCTTAATTTCAGTTAAAATACTAAACATAGCCTTCCTCGCTTGATCTGTCAAGTGGTTTTTTGTTTTATTAAATTTACCATTAAAGTTGAATATCACACCTAAATAACTAAAATCATCTACAGCTTCTAGAGGTGCATTATTGAAATAAAATACAGGCTTATTTCTTAATTTACCACGAGAAAATACAACAACTTTTGTCTTATCGGTATTAACAGTCAAATGCCATAATTTACAATAATCAAGCATGCAGTTTAGTGCTGTTTGAAGGCCAGTTTGACTTTTCCGCGAAAACAACTGTATCATCAGCATAGAGTAATAAGTACAACTTCAAGAATACATCAACTTCATCATTACTTAACTGTTCATTTATCTGGGCAAACCTTCACAATGTGTAGACATATAAGAAACCAAATCATTAAGGAAAATTGAAAACAAAATTGGAGAAAGATTTTCTCCCTGACGCACACCTAAACAGCTTACAATTGTATCTGACAATGCATTATTCACTTTAACACAAGACTTAGCTTTGTCATAGATATTATGAATAACTTTAAGTATTTTCCCATCAATATTATGTGCTAACAATTTCCTCCAGAGAGCAGTACGGTTTATACTATCAAATGCTTTCTTGTTATCAATAAAAGAGCAATACAATCTCTTTTTCTTCGATAAGTAAATATCAATCAACATTTTTAAGGAAAAAATATGATCCGTAGTTCCATAACCATTACGAAACCCTGCCTGTTCCTCAATTAATAGGCCAGACTCTTCCAAAAAAATATTTATTCGTGGTGAGTTTGGGATGAACTATTCTCCGCATTCGGAACTGCCTCGGCTAATATCTATAATCCGAAGACTCACGGAAAGGGCCGAGTAGTTGCGATTGCTATTCTCCGGTCTCCTATCGGTAAATCCCGGTCTCTCCCGGTCTATTTTGACCGAGATTTACTAGAGACCGGCGAATAGTATCAACGTTTATTGTCCGATCTCTCCCGGTTTTGAAGTAGATATTTTATTTGAAATCGTAATAAAAAAAATAAGTTTTTTTTTCAAAATTGAATGTTTTCACTTAATTTGGTTACAATAATGAATTAACAGAGATCATCTCTCAAATTTATTTATTTATTATAGATCTAATTATTATTATACAAAAACTTTCCATTCCAAAAATAACAAAAGCACTTTTCATTTTATTTATATCTGATAAACCAATAAATACATACAATAATTGAATAAAAAGGTACATTTTTATGGTATTAATATGACACAATCATCTTTGAAATATTTTTTTTTAATTTGTTATTATAGCGTTTAGTAAAGAGATTCTGTTACAAATTGGATTTTATGAATTATTTAAGTAATTTTTTTAAGAAAAATAAAAATGGTCTAAGAATATTGAATATAATATATTGAAAGATTGATCATAATTTACTGACTTTTTCCAGTTAATTTTAGGATCATAATCGTAGATCAATATGACAATTGAATTTTAAAAATTTATATAACAAAAAAAAAAAAATAAACGTAATAACTCAGTATTAAAATAACACATAAAACCACAGATTTATATCACGGATATAAATCCGTGCTAACAACAACAAAAATACATATTTAAAAAACAATTAATTTGAGACGAAATACATTATATACGAAAAAAAATCTTATATCAACACTTTTTTCATCTAGAAAGATCGAAAATTTTTAGAAGACCGGCACTGACCGGGCCAGTAAATATGATACAATTCGCCGGTCTCTCGAAAATTCCTGTCAAAATAGACCGGGAGAGACCGGAGACGGAAGCGACCGGACCGGAGAATAGTACATCCCTACTTTGAAGTTAAACATAGAGGGATTTTGCAGGAAGGGTTTTAGATAGGGGATTTATAAGGGAAATCTGTATTTTGCAGACAGAATGAATGTTGAATTTTGCAGACAAGTTAAACTAAGAAGGAATTTGCAGACAAGTTAGATATAGAACAAAATATAACATGATAGGGGAATATAAGGAGAATCTGTATTTTGCAAACAGCATTTATGTTGAACTTTGCAGACAAGTTTGTCAACAATGGCAATTCAACATCCAATGTTTCAAGAAAAGCCAGTAATACCTATTGCATTCATGTTACATGAAAGGAAATTTCAAATCTGCCACGAACACTTTATCGAACTTAGCAAAAATTAGACCAGAAAAATATTAATATAGTAACAGACCGTGAAAAGGGCATTATCAACGCATTTGAAGAAAGATTAAACAATTCTCAAATGTTGGAATCATATTTTAAATGATATAAAATTCTGGGTGAAGAACCATGGAGACCGCGCTGATGACATAAAAGTTTATGAAATGAATATACGTACGCTCTTACAATGCCACAATAAAGATGAATACCAAAAGAACTATGAAGAAATGAAATCTAAATGGAGTGAGGCATTTGTGACATACTTTAATAAACATATAGATTACACCATAACAAGTTTTGCTGCTAGATGGATTTTAGAAATAAAAGGAGTTTATTACCCTTATTCTGGTGTAACCAATAATGTAAGTGAAAGTTTAAATGCCCAGTTAAAAAGACTTATAGACAGGAAAGAGAAAAGAATCGATGAAATCGTATTATTTCTTAATTACAGTATATGAAAGGAAATGCCCTTTCGAATCTGATGTTAGGATTTTGTGGTGAAAGTGAATTGACTCTGATTTCCAAATTCAAGTATGCAGCATTAGACCCAGATACCATTATCCTTCCAAAAATGTATGTCATCCTGATAAACATCGGAAGATAGACTGGTTCCCTGCGCACTTCTTTTGGATGGTCAGGAAACCAGATTACAGATGACCTTAAAACTTCTATATTTTTTTATATATATACGTCAAAACCCATGGACAGCATTGTCAGAAGTGGTGACAGACTCCCAAGCGGATTTGAACGCTCCGGGGAAATTCTTTTTCGTAAGCACTTCTCCAATGTGGTTCAAGTTGCATAAGCTGCCTTTTCCACGACGACTTCATGTGTGGGAAGAACTGACATCGCACGACTGTAAAATATGCGTTGCGCATATCGCACGACTGTAAAATATGCGTTGCCTTTCGCATGGTAATAGTGTGATATAATTCTGTTGTTGGTGCTCGTAATGTTACTGCAGCACAGATATGCGTGCGGAGTGTCCGTCCACAAACAAGAGAACTGGTTTTGTCATACACTTATTATTAATGAAAGCAGGGAAATGTTGTAGGAATGCAACGTTAACACATATAATTAAGTCTGTGTCTATCCAACCATTCGCACTGTTGCCAAAAATAGCTTCTGGAAACTGGTGTATACCGGCGTCTCGTAGCCTCTCGCCTGGAAATACAATCAATGGCGGAACATAGTCGCCAAAACAGTTAAAGCATACCATGACAGTTAGTTGTGTTTCGCTATATTATATACGTGACGAGCACCTTTTTTTGGCAAGAACCTTTCCGGTTTTGAAATCACTCTCGTCCTCATTGAATATGCGAAGTGGTTCATTATTAAGACCATTTCTTTGCCAGGTAACCGAATAATCCAGCAAACCATCCATCAATCATGGCCTTGTTAACGATTGCCCTCGGTCCTAAGATTCTTCATGAAACGCACCCCAGATCATTGCATAGCATTAGCGTAACTCTGGGTGTTGCCTCTTTCAAGAATGCACAGAATCCTGGCTTATTATTTTTAAAGGTTTCTGGCGACCGTCAATATCCATAATGACCTTGTCCTCATTCAGAATTTCATTTTGGGTAAGGGGGTAACCAACTGATGCCATAAGTATGAGGACAGTCCATGGGCCTGGACGCACCCACCCCTCCGTCCTTGTCCGTCAACGTTGTCCTTGCTTTATTTCTAGACATTGCACTTGTCTTAACCATGGTAAGAGCTGTTGCCAATTCTGTAGAATATTGACGCCGCTTCTTGATAAACAGTTGGGCCGACAGAATTTGGCCAATAAGTAACAAATATATGTATTAAAGTGACATTATGCTCATTTTTTCACTGTCAAGTTAAGTTTAATTAGTAATATATTCGAAGAGATTGACTACCAATAATTGATAATGAAAAATGTTGGAATGAAATATAAAAACAACCTAAATTTTAAAACAACTGCTGCCCCATGAAGATTTAAGTACACAAAAGAAAAACAAGCTCATTAAGGAAGGGCTGCATTCAATGAACGCAACCCCCACATGACCCAGCAACACAGTATTACTGGCAAGGAGAAATTAATACTTGGGATATTTCCATTAAATTGGTATATTTGAAATGACTAAACTTTCACAACCTGCCGATATTTGCCTTTACCAGTCACTCTTTGCAACACTGCTTCTAATGATTAATGCAATTAAAAAAAGATCTATTCACTACTTGTCACAGATAAACGTATGCAATCGCTTAAAATGACATTTATTTTGACTACAACACTGCAAGAAATAGAGTGTAACCCGTTTTAACTGCACAGGATAGGCATTGTTTTTGAATAAATAACGTATACTGAAGATCTATCTTCTTTTGGTTCGCTTTAGAGGTACTTCCAGGAGACTTAATGACATCAGAAGTGACGTAAAATAACTGTTTTGTACTTAATAATGAACATGATAATACATTATAATTACGTGTATTACTGTCCATAACTACCGATAGTCGACGTTACCCGACGTTGCTCTAGCTCTATAATTATATGTAAAATAAATATAGATCTACATGTGCTTGGATTGACAAATAATTTTATGTGTCCAGTTCCGGCACATGACTTGTTTCGACTCGTTCAATGTTGTTTTTCTAAATTGTAAGCCTAGTAAGGTGTTAGCTAATATACACACCCCTATTAGTGTACATGTAATAACCAGTTTTACCTTCGGAAAGTGTTCCTGCAGATCATTAACAGAACGGAGAATTAGATTTAGCTTCAAGAACATGCTCTACCTTTTGTAGAAGTTTCATCTATATTTAAAATACATGTATTAGTATGCTTTTTTAACCAAACTGTCTAATAAGCTTGTGCTGCTCTCCCATCCTTATTGACGTCAGTTCAATCGAACGTTTGCCAAGGCCTCTGAATCTGTTGGTATGTAAGTCTTAGAAATGAAAGGTTACTTTTCACACACACACACACGCACGCGCGCGCGCACACACACACATACACGCACGCGCGCGCACGCACACACACACACATTTCTTAGCCTCTGATTTAATTGATTCGTCCATGCAAAACCATTTTTACAGAGTCACAAAAGCGGCACGGGTATGTGATAAATATTTTTTATGAAACTTGAAATATGGATAGTTGGCAGTATGGAGATTTTGCACATCATTTTTTCTTTCTTCCACATTTGTTAAAAATATTGTTGCTATGAGACTTAAAATACTGAGAAAAAAACACAACAATATATTTGGACCCATTTATGATTTGAATTGAATAAAATATTTTAACTAAACATGAAACATGAATACATCATACATTATGATGTGGGGAACCAGTTAAACACGTGATTACTTAAGGTTTGCACTATGTTTGTCTGTTCATCTGTCCACAAGTCTGTGATTTTAATTATGGATAGATGGCAGTTCGGAGATTCAATATACACATCATTTTGATCTGATTCTGGTTGTTATGGTTACATATAGACTTAAAATGTTGCAAAAACAAATATTTGAATCTTTCTATAATTTTATAACCACTTTACTTTGTCCTTCAATGGCAATCTGTTATTATTTTAAATGTACCAGATAATTTCTTCATAAACTTACAATACGGATAGCAATATGGAGATGATGTTCATCAAATTGTCAATTTCGTCCCGAAATGAAGTTCTTAAGGTTCATCCTCTGTATGTCCATCTGTTTGTCCGTCCATCACTAAAATATGTATCATAAGATCATTTTTAAGTACGTTTGAAACAAATTTTCTTTTGAAACAAATTTTCTTAAATAAAGCAAAACATCAGTTATACATAGTGATCCTGAGAAAATTTGATCTTTTGTTTAGCTGGGCTATATAAACACTATTTCCTTACAAGGCAGGGAAACGCCTTAAGATGATAGTAACGCTGAAGAGTAAACTAAGAACTTCACAGTTTATTCATATCTTCCACAATTGCATAACTGAAAGGCCAGAGTCCTTCAAAATGTTGGCAACATACTTCTTGTTGGGTTCTAGCCAGTAGGGTACTTTTGTATAGCTTGCTACACTTTCAGATATTTGCTCGTTACAAATGTACTGCTACAAATGTCTTCCATAGGCTTAAAATTCAAAGGAATCGTTTTGGGAAATAGAAAAAAAAATAAAAGCTGTTCTTATACAGGTCAGAGAAGTTTTATTCCCTGTATTGCAAATAACATGATCACAAGTAGAGTTACAATATAAACTCACTCAAAAGTACAGTGTTCTGCCACAAAGATGTAACAATGATTTGAACAACAGAATTATTTTGAGCAGGTGTAGAATTGACAGCGCTTAAAATCCTTAACATGAGAAGAATGCAAAATCAGATTTTCAAATATATGGTACTCAACACCCTTAAGGTGTAGTTTAAACAAACTGTTTCAACCATTTTTATTTTTACTAACAAAGGCAAAATCAACTTTTCATTACAATTTTTTTCAAATGATAGACAGATTATATATAAAACATACGCAACTTCTAGAATCAAACTGTTTACACATGCCATGCCTAAATGCATTATAGACCGTAAGACATTATTACAAATTCGATTTCATTAAATTAAGCAAAATTTTGCATCACATCTAAAAAAGAAAAGAAAGTATGTAAGTTATTGACTCATTATCCTTAAATGAAAATTTCAAGTATATTAAAATCATTTATATAAAAGACATAAAAACTCACTACAGTTCTACAAAATAATTCTTCTTTTGTTGATTTTATCCCCTTCTTTTAAACCAGCTGGCCCAAAACACCTTGTTTAAAGTACACCTATTAGTTGTATAATGAATATAACCCACTCTTACATACATGACAAAAAGTCCTTCGTTCCTATAAATGAAGTAACAAATCTATCATTCAATGATATGTCATACCATACACTCATTTCTATCTACAGCTTCTATGAGATAAATCATAAAATCATACTCATTTCAATAACACCAGCTGCCTCAAAATAAGAAATTCAAGAACATTGGTACCCAAAACAGGAAATAATAAAAATAAACACAAAAGAAACATTTCTATGACAATATTCTATAAACAATAAATGTGGACACTGCCTTAGCCTGCGGCTGAAGTTTTGAAATTCACTTTGTCTTTGCTTTGAATTTGAAAAAGTCAATTTGAGTTTTAAAGTAAGTTTTAAATAAAAACCGAAACAATCGAGCTACCAGCAGTATAGAGCATGCCCAGACAGCATGACTGTGCAGACTGGCCGGTGTCTATACTGGTGGCAAAGACCAAATACTTGGTTCAAGCGGGTTAAGATAGTCTGAACATGATACTGTAACCCAATTTATATTCGCGAATACAAATTTTCGCGTTTTGCCGAGGTCGGACATATTCGCGAATATTAATTTCCGCGTTTTCTTGATTTCCGAAAAAAAAAATTCGCGGATTGGAAAGTCCGATGGAGCCGTAAAATCCATAAGCCGACTATTAATCTTCAATAATTGAGGTCATTATTGGTGTCTTAAATGGGATTAATATAACGCTAGCCTTATATTGTATTGGTAAGTGAATTGTGATCACAATTCAGCAAACATTTTCTCCATATATGTACATGTAGTACAAAACCATCTTGTATTTCACTGTTTGTAATTATGTACACCCAATACCCTTTTGTGATGTTCGAAAGGTTTATACCACCTTTGTCTTAACAATTCACTCAAACAATTATTTTATAGGATAAAAAAACAATAGCCTTTTGTGATGCTCGATAGTTTTCCCACTTTTGTCAAACGATTAATAAACTGACACATGCTCCGTATAGTACCCTATACGGAACGTGATTGACAATAGGCCTACTAGTATTTCATAAACTGTATTAAAATGTGGATGTTTATTTTGATTGCTATATTGACATAGAGTTCTTTTGATATTTATAAAATAGAAGTAGTTTACTTAGTTTGTGCTTTTATTGCTTTATGGCAATATTCATAACAATTCATTACTTCCTAACAGGTGCCCGTAAAATTCGAATATATCCGGTCAAGTAGCTTTGCATGAACAACGTCTAAAATAAAAATTTCTCTCCAATTTATTGCGAAATCGTGCGGACTTATTCGCGCAAACAAATATTCGCGCTTCGCGGCCATCCGCGAATAAAGCGAATATTAATTGGTCGCGAATATTCGTTGGGTTACAGTAGTCTATTATAACACTTTTAAATATAACAATGTGCTCTGGTATCATTAAAATCTTAAGCAGGCAGAAAAATTTAAGTTAGCTTTGCTACTATTTTAACTCTTTTATAACAAAACAAGGCATTTCACAAACAAACAAAAATCTTTTTCTGAATGTCAAAGGAAATTTTTTATCTGATATAAAATGACTACAAATCTTTGTCAACTTCAGAAATGATTCTTACTTATTTGCTGGTTGCCCAGGAGCAAAGGAAATTTGTCCTTAATTAATATGCTAACTGATTCATAAATCAATGTAAAAGGTAAATTGAAATTTTTATTTACTTTCTTTTTTACACAAAAACTACCAATATTAAATTTTAGTGTATATTTCCAAAGTTATTTTTAAAATACAATAAAAAGTTTCAGATCATTTGTAAAATTCAGGATTGAAACATGAAAACATTTTTTTTGCTACTGGGCCTAAAGCTCCATGCATTCATACTTTGTCCTATGTTTAACCTATTTTTGTATTTCTACGTGTTTCCATCACTTTTTGCAGTGAACTTCATGAAATAAAACAAACAAAAATGAAAGAGAAAAAAAATTGTTGAATTAAATGAAGAGTTATTTCTATTTAGTGCTGGTGAACTAGCCTAATTTCACGTGCTGACGTATTTTAAAGAGTACTGCTAACAGAAAGAAGCAACAAAAAAACAAACACCCACATTTTTTTCCTCTGATGAAACTTCTACTTTAAATAAGACACTGAACATGTTATACCGTATAACAAAACATACAAAACAAAATCACCTTATATATATTTATATATACTTATATTCTTATTATATATACAAAACAAATAAAACATAATATATTGTTCCGAAGCAAATTTCTGAAAGATTTCACATCTGTACAAAGTCTCCATTGTTTTGTGAACTTTCATATAAGAAACATGACAGAGCATAAAACAACTTGTAAAGAGCAGAAAACGTGAGATTTTAAAACAAATATGTAACATGTTTCCTTATCTAAAACTTGTATTGAAGGTCTGGTCAATACCAATTTCATTTTCCAATTTTTTTAAAAACCAAGGAATAAAACAGCGAGTGTAATTTATGTAGATTCAATAAACAAAATCTGCGAGCCAATTCTTTCATACAATAGGAAAAGAAAAAATTTCATAAAATAATTACAAAACATACAACCTTGCCTTCTTTTCAAGATTTATCAAAAAAATTTCTAATCAATAAAGAATAAATTCCAAAAAGATTTTTATTTTGATGATTTTTAAGTTACATGGTTATACTGGTATGGTCAAATTAATATTTTCTAGTTTACAAGGGTAGTAAGATCATCCCCCTTTACATAATATATAATCATACCTATGTATTATATTTCAATAGAATTATACAGAAGTAATGTAACTTCTTAATTACAACAGCTTAAAAATAAATCAGACAAAGAAATAAAAGCCTGCCTTTCAATGTTTTGATTTTTTTCTCTAAATTAAAATTGGCACAAGTAAATTTATTTGTTCCCCAATTCTTCATGTTTTAAAATACACGCACGCATATATATACAAAAATACAGCTAAATGAGTGGTCCTACAAAATTATATAATAATATGTTACCTAAACATGCCAGAATGAACAGAAAAGAAATGATTTTAACATGTACACATATGTATGTATGACTCCCTGCTAAATATTATACTGGCATTCCTTAAACAACACTTTTATATATGCACTTTTAGCAAGAATACGCTGCAAGAATAAGTTTATCAAAAATTATATTTCAGCTTAAATTTCGATACTGTGTTCTATGAATGCTCAATTTTATATTTATAAATGTCTTACATTAATTTCAATTATATATTAAATATTCAGCTTATATATTTAATATGTTAAGTTTGAAGTTCTATTTGATCACCAACAGTAATGACTATTCCAATAAGATCAAAGATACATATGAGCCGTGTCACGACAAAACCAACATAGTACGTTTGCGACCAGCATGGATCCAGACCAGCCTGCGCATCCGTGCAGGCTGGTCTGGATCCATGCCGGTCGCAAACCCATTATGTTGGTTTTGTCATGACACGGCTCATATTTCATCACTTTTCATGTCAAATAAGCATCCACACAATCCAGACCAATAAAAATCTATGTCACTCTATGGTTTCTTCACAAATATCAGATAGAAAATTAGCATAGCTGTTTGAAATCTAGTATTAATAACTAATCAAAAACAGAAGTTAAAAAAAGTCTCCAAATTTCTGTATTCCCTAAGTTATTCAATATTAACAAGAAATATATTTGACAGAAATGAAAGTATGAAAACAAAGCACACACAATGTATTGTATTTTGTGCAAAAAACAAAAATTACAAAACAGAAAAGTGAAAGGTAATTGTAACTTTTTTATTGATAAATCATAGGTATAAAAGACCAAAGAAAAATCATGGACAACATGGACATATGGAAATATTACATCACAAGCATACAATTAAAATACTTATGCTCTTAATATTTTCGTAGATTCAAATTAAGTTGAACTATACACATATAGTGCATCTCATCACCTTAGTGCAATAACGGATTAAGTACTATTGAATTTTAACAGGAGTTAACCCGTTACTGCACCGAGATGACGATCTGCTCTAGTTACTTCCATGTCTGTGACATTTGTGATCCATTGAACATAATATAAAGGACTATATATTCATTAATATATTGTGGTATGTATAATTTTAAAATACCTTACTGTTACTGAATTAATATCAATATCAGTAAGGTGATTGCTTTTAATTGATTTTTGATCCATCTTTATAGAAATTACAGCAAAAATGTAAATAACTAATCATGTTTCCTCTTCATTAGTTCACACCAAAAAACCTAGAAAATCAGGAAATAATCCAATGATAAAGAACAATTTAATATGATAAGGGTCTGACACTTTTGTAATGTTTTTCCATGCCTTAGATATCATAGGAACTCCATAGGAGTAAACATATTTCCTAAAATCTTTTTCAAAATAGTACAATTTACCTCCCTTTCCTTAAGGATAGCACAATTCACTTCCCTTTTTTTTCCCAAATTTGCCTATTTACCTCATTTTTCTTATACATAGCAGCTGAAGTTGTGTCCCTTTCTGTAAATAAAGCACAATCATTCATTCACACTTTTAATTGTCATCAATTTATCACAGTGACATAAATTCATTTTGAAAACAAAAATGGAAAAAATAACATGATTCAAATGAAATAAAATAAAATATTTTTAGAAAGTTTGAGCAGAAAAATTTTGGCTCTAACAAAATTAGAAATAAAAAAAATGTAATTCTACTCCAAAGAATCTCATACTAAGTGTATACTCATATATTTTTTTTCTCAAGAAAAAAGACAATACAAATCTGTCCAAAGTGATTTTTTTTTATTACAATCTATTTTAAAAACATGAATACAACAATTACAGCTAAAGCTACTAGTTAATACTGTTAAGTGTAGTTCCAAATAGCTGTAATTGAACAATTCTAATGAGAGTGAAATCATTGTTACATGCTGCAGTAAGTGTTGTCATTCTTCCTTGTACATCTCCCTTAATATTGAACTCCAAAAACAAAAGAAGTTTCAAATTATGTTGATCTGACGCAAGTTTTTAAATCAGCATTATATATGCACAAAATCTGACAAAAATGTATAGTACATATACCCTTAAAATCTGAAAATATGCCGCAGCTTATTTCAATTTTTGGTAAGAAATTGGTGGCTTATTATCTGGGGTGGCTTATTTTCAAGGTCGTTATATATTTTCCTTTAATCTTAATAATTAAAATAGCAATTAATGCACTTTCGTTTGAAATAAGTCCTTATAAATTGACAATACATACACTTCCATATAAATGGCTAAATATGCACTCCTTCCTGGCAAAATATGCACTTCAAAGTTCAAACTGAGAGAAAAAGCTTCAATCAGGTAATAACTTCAGTCTGGCTCTATACTTATACATAAATCTGAAATATGGTCTTAAATTGTCAGTATATGTACATTCATCTGAAAACAACACCTGGTACCGATTCTAACATGTCCTTAGTTCCATTATCTCATGAATACGAAGTCCTCTAATTGTGTGATGCATTCATTCATTTATATACAAGGACAAGAATATGCAATACATCCATCTCACATTTTGTCATTAGATTGTCTATACATATATGCATTAGTATCGGCAACTGATCCAAAATGTCTTATGTTGTAAAAGAAAATGAGCCGCGTCACAACAAAACCAACATAGTGCGTTTGCGACCAGCGTGGATCCAGACCAGCCTGCGCATCCAAGCAGTCTTATCAGGATCCATGTTGTTGCTTACCAACCCTATTACAAGTAGAGAATATGATAGCGAACAGCATGGATCCTGATCAGACTGCGCGGATGCGCAGGCTGGTCTGATTCCATGCTGGTCGCAAACCCATTACGTTGGTTTTGTCGTGATGAGGTTCAAATAATTACACATTCCTGGCTGATTGTAGATTAGACATAAAAAAAAGTTTGGTCAATAGAAACATGCATCAAATGAGACTACGCATTTCAAAGATGATTTGTAGTGGACCCCTTCAAAGATCTACTTAGTTCCTTAAATTGTAATTATACCATATAAGACATATCAGGAATCCAATTAAAGAAATAAATATTTACATATCCTCAAACAAAAATTCATTTGTCATTCATAAGACAATAATCATTTATGCTAAAACTATTTCCCCCAAAAAAACTATGAAGACAGAAATATAAGAAACAACTTTTACCAACAATAATCTTGATATTTACAAAACTTAGAACTCGCTAGCAATGCTATGTATTTTCAATATCACTATAAAACTATTCTATGACCAGCATAGAATGGCCAGAAAATGTTGGGGGGATACACATTGCATAAAATCATTTGCAACAACATCCATGATTTAAACATTAAGTGGTGACCAGTCTAAAAAATTGTCACACATTTTGATTGGGTTTTTTTTCTGAACTCAAAACGACCAATGAAAATGTTTCACAGAGTGACTGGTTCTCTATAACCTTGGTACCAGGTACAAGTCTACATACACACATGCAGAGGTTCAAAAGCTTGGTAACAAATATGTTGATTTAATGTATTTGTTCCTTTTACTAGAATATCATTATATCTCATATAAATTGTCACTGATAAATACCTATCTAAACGCACTCTTAGCAACTAAATGACCAACAAGATGAACCAACTTTCTAATTTGGATTTTTCTAGCATATTTATGAGTATTAGCCCTTTTTTGGGGAAAATGTTTGGACTCTAGAAATAAGCAATCTTTGAAAATATTATACAGAATCTTTGAAAACCAATGAAAAAGTCATACAATCTACAGCAATGGAAACATATATCTAAAATGTGATGTAACAAAATGTTGCTGCAGGGGCCAGGCCCATAAGCATGATCCTTTTATAACATATGTTTGTCAGAAAATATTTAACCTGCCTAAATAATAACTGCTTCCTTTTCTAATTTAGGGGAAATGTGGGGAAAATTTTTGCCTTGTATGTGCAAAAAGAAAACGAATTCCTATCTATAAAAGGCACTTGTTCAAATTTTGCACCAAGTTTCACAATTTCAAGACTATATTAAGGTTGAAAATCTGATTATGGGAGAGTCACTGTCACATTTATTCTAAAAAACAAACCCAAACCCCCCTAAAATATTCACCTAAAGCAACATGAAACAAATGACAAAATCTACATCACAGGAAAAGCTTGAATGACTACATTGTACCGCCTCTGTGACACTGATGAAACAAAAAGCAGGAAGTTGACAGTCATGTGACTGAGACAGAACAAAATTGTTCCTTTCAGAGACACACATTAGACAGAAAATGTTCAATATCTAAACAACCAAGTGTGTCCTGTAGTTACATAATAGCATTTAAATACATATAAATATCATAGGAAAGCTTTTATGTATTGGTTAAAGTATTTAATTATATTATTGTGCGACAAACCTTTATAAAACTAAAATGAAAAGTAAGTTCTTTTTAAGAAAAATCAATTTCATTTTATGTGTACAAGAAATAAATTTTAAAACCTATGTTTATCAATATTAATCTTTTTCTTTGTAACTTTGACTTAGTTGATTAGATACAGAACTTTCCGTGCCAATGTTTATGCTCTAAAAAATGACAAAATCACAAAATAGACATTCCATGGATTGAAAACGGAGATTAAGGGTACATGTATAGTCCACATCTATGACAATTAACTTCGTCATGAAATACTTCCCTGAACAGCTAAAAAATACTATCGCTCTATGGTCACTCAGATTAAAGCAACTTGTTCATACATTTTCCCTGATTAGATTTTTTTAAAGTCTTTTACGGAAATCGTCATCTTAGTGCAAATACTGGTTAACAACTATTAAATTTAGAAGGACTAAACCCTTTACTATACTAAAGTGACGAAATGTAAAATTCTTCAAGTTTAGTCTAATGTTGTTTTTTTTTTTACTTTTCATTAAAATATGCTACAGATATAAGAGAAACAACTACACACTGACCCTAAATAACACAAATTATGACTCATTCATTAATCTATGAACAAGTAGCTTTAATCACAACAAAATTCAAAGATTTAGTTTCTTGGAATGCAAGCTAAATTTAGAATGTCTAATGTATTAGTTTGATATTTAATAAAAAATAGTAATAATAACAATTCTGTTACAAATGGAGAATTCACTAAATATATAATTATTCTCGTAACAAAATTGTTTGCAATTAAATAATAAAAAAAATAATGAAACAAACGAGCATAATTCCTACATACATGACCTTATTACAAGATATTAAATACAGCGTTAGAATAAGTAGCCTTCATAATAAATACATAAAATGTAAATGAAAAAAGGTACGACTGTAGGAAGAAGTATCTATTTAAACCTGTTAAAAGAACACAAAGAGTGTTATCTCCTTAAATATAATCCAGGATATACTTGTGGAATACATCCTCATGATTAAACATTTTTTGTTACAATATAATGTTCCAGTGATTAAGCAAAGCGGGCATTTATCACGGGTACTAGTTGATTATGTCTGACCCCTTTGCCCACTCCAAGTCAAAATTCTACTCAGTTGCCTGACTCTTGATTTGTATGTAAATAATCGTCCGGTCTTTTATGACCATCCAATGCTTTTATCATACTGATATCATGTGGTAATTCAGACTTTCTCCGCAATAACGGTTTGTCCTTCGGCTTTTTCCTGCTTATCTGTAAAAACAGAGCATAGAAACATGTTTATATGTATAAAAAACATGTTAATATGTATAAAACATATATAGATTATCATTCTTACGTATTGCCATCAAATCTTGTATATCTTATTTTTTATTTTTTCTACAAAAATCCTGGAAAAATTTTGTTGTGACAAGGATTATAAAGGTTTTAAAATCTGACAAGTGTGTGTGTGTGGGGGGGGGGGGGGGGGGGGGATGTTATAAAGTATGATCAGACCCCAAAAATATGTTGAAAAGGCATCACATCAAATGAGATGTTTGAAAAAAAAATATTCAGGTATTTTTACACTTATAACCTTAATTTTGTACTGCTGTTGTATTTCTTTCATATCCAGCAGGCCATTTTGATATATGACAAATAATATATAACATTTTTATGTGCTCACTATAATGTCTTCAACTTGAAAATACTAATAAAAGAATAGTGACAAAAATTTACTGAATTATATATAAAATAAGAGACACAAACACACTAAATATCATGCAACTTGTTCAACAAAGAAAGCATCATAGAACAAGAGCTGTCAGAAGGACAGCGCGCTCGACTTTTTTAGTGCTTGCCTATAAAACAAAACTTTGACAGTTAAGGGCACACAAGACTTTAACTAGGAATTTCTAAGAACAAATCAAGAAACATTTTCACAGAATTATCTTCTCTTGCTTACAGATAGGTCTCATGATGGCACATAAGAACTCCAACTTCCAAAGTAATATCTCAAATGGTTAGGTCAACAAGTGGACAAGAATGAAAATTTTAACTGAGTTTCTAAGTCAAAAAGGGCCATAATTCAAATAAAATCCTTAACAGAATTACCTTCTCCTGCCCATGTTTGGGACCATGATGGTAAACAAGTATTCCAACTTTCAATTTAATATCTCAACCAGTTCAGTCAAAAAGTTGACTGGTACAAAAAACTTAACCAAGATTCTAAGTCGATAAAAGGCCTTAATTTTTAAAACAAATCCCTGACAGAGTTACCTTCTCTTGCTAAGGATGGGGGTAATGATGTGAAATAGCATTAAAAGTTTCAAAGCAATATCTCAAAGGGTTAAGGCAATAAGTGGATTTTACCCATATTCAATGTATTTTCTAAGTCAAAAAGGGGCATAATTCTGTCAAAAACCTTGACAGAGTTATGTCCTCTTGTCTGTTGATGAAGGTCGTGATGGTAAACAAGTATGGTCAGTTTCAAAGCAATACCTCCAATGGTTTTGAAATAAAGTGAGGTGGTACAAAAAACTTAACCAAGCTCAATACACTTTCTAAGTCAAAAAAGGGCCATAATTCTGTCAAAAACCTTGACAGAGTTATGTACTCTTGTCTGTAGATGGAGGTTATGATGGTGAACAAGTATGGTAAGTTTCAAAGCCATACTTGTAATACTTCTGAAATAAAGTGGGGTGGTACGAAAAACTTAACCAAGGTGTGACGCCAACGCTAACGCCGACGCCGACGCCGGGGCGAGTAGGATAGCTCCCCTTTTCATAGAAAAGTCGAGCTAAAAACTGGCCATTACTCGATTACAAGAGAAGATTAATACCTCAACTGCTTCTTTTTCTAGTTTTTCAAGGGTGACTAAGACAACTTCATCTTCATCATTCATGCTATTAGCTGGCGTGCTTGGATTTCCAATTAGTTCTGCATTCTGCTGCCCAAACACTTTAAACTGTAACATACAGACAAGACAATACTCAACATTACTAATTATATGAATACAGTCAAGATACTTCAGGAGACTGGAGACTGGTTTAAAATGTGAATATATGCATAAACAAGTCTTAAATGTAGGGCCAGTCTGAAATTGTGCCTAACAGGCAGAATTGGAATAAAACCAGTCTAAAATACCATGATCTAATTGAGACCGGTCAAACAGGTCGGAATTTGAATTGAACCTGTTTAAAATGTCAAAATCTTATTCAAAACAGTCTAGAAAACAGACTTAAATTGGAAAAAGTCCAAGGAATTTTCAGAATTTTATTGAGACATTTCTAATATGCAAGAATGTGAATGGTTTGTTAAAATTATGCAATTGAAAATTGCAACAGCTTTATTATAAGTGCTGTCTGATCATGGTCTGCACTGATTGCTATTCAGTCTGTAGTTATTTTGAAATTTTAGCTGAAAATGATGAATGATTTTGCCAGATTGAGAGATGACAAATCAATTAATGATATTTAGCATGGTTAATACCAGCCATTTTCCCCCTTAATTGTGAATGGGTCAGGTACTGTGAAAATTGTGAGAGAAATTAATCACCAAATTGTGAAAATTTTGTTCAAAAATGTAAATTTATATACAGTTACTTGACTCGTACTATACTCAGATTTGTTCTTATCTATTCTATTCCTTTTCTTTATAACATCAAAAATACTTTTTTTGATTACTCAAATGACCATTTTTCAGATAATTCACAAATAATTTACCATTCTTTTAGTGCATTTCTCATCCGTTACAATATTACCAGATGCATTCCTTGTATTTATATCAGATATATTTGCGATGTACAACTTGGAATATATCCTAGAAATCTGACCAGTCCGATGAAAAATGCCCTTCATCATTCAGTAACCACAGGACTGTGAGACCTATTTTAATACATTCAGCTTCAAAAACTCTTTGGTAATTTCAAAATTACTGCCACTAAATTCTCATTCAGCAATTCCCAGTCAATGTAAGGTTCATATAAGACAAAAAAATTTACCAAATAGCTATAATATTGGTAAATAAATGTCTTAAAAGCTCTATAAAGAAAGACAAAATAAGTTTCAGCTATAGTGGCTTTGACCCTACTACCCATAAAACCTTCTGTAGATTATTTGTTTATGAATGATGAAAGCTCTATGATTAGAGACAAGTAGAAACAACAGCTATCATTAAAGGTGATTAATACCCCAACCAGCCACTTTTTAAAAATAAGGGATGAAGCAAAATTTGAACTTGACCTATATTGTACAACATTTCATCTGTATATTACATTTAATTGCCTTGTATAATCATCTGTTAGCTATTATCTTTCTAAAAAATGTATTGTGAACTTTGCCGAGTTTGAACAACTAAGCAAAATAGACTTAGCCCCGCTTTTTAACTTACAATAACTTATTCTGAACTTAAGTCATCGTCAAAAAAAAAGAAGAAAACAGACGGACCGACCGACAAGCTGACCCCTATAAACAACCCTAAACTGCATTTTATGGCTATGGAAATTTTCAACCTTACTTTGTACATTTATACTTCAAACCATTCCTTTTAGTATACATCCAAGCTAGATACCTATTTAATAAAATATACAAAATGATTTATAAATGAAGGCAATTGGAGCAATAGTAAGTAAATATGGCCAAAGAGAAAGGAAGGCAAAATATTACATCCCCACAAGAAAATTCTGGAAACATAAAATTATAAATATATTTTCTTTTTCTTTTTTTTTTTACTTTCAATGTCCTTCAGTATTACTTGCTTGTATTCTAGTGCATTTTCTCCTATTTTAATTCAAACTGAAAGGATCAAGCTTCTAAATAGATTGACCAACAGATATGTGCAAAACGAGTGTAGTTTAAAAATGACATGCTTTAGCTAACGATCATGCTTTATGGATATATCAAATAACACTGCAATTTATCAACATATATTTCTGAAGAAAAACACAATGTTCTAGGACATTTATAGTGTGAATAAAAGGGAAATATTTTTATCACAAGGAATCACTTAAAATCTTCTGATTAGTAAGTTTATATTGAATCATAAGATAATTCTGCATGGAAAGATGTATTCATCTTGTACTGATAATAGATGAATATCAGTAATTATCTGAAACTTCAACAAATATTTATAGAAATGCATGTGTCAAAGTTTTAGCGTAAAAAAAATACTGTTCTGTACACCTCTTACACAAGGGATGGGTTGGGTTTATTAAGTCATGCTACATAAGGTCAACAAGAGCAATCAGTGATCACATGTGTCGCCTCATGATGGCCAATTTCATGTTGGGACAAGTTTTGTGACAGACGGACAGACAGACGGACAGTGCACAACTAGACTTGGTACTGATCATTCCTGTAAAGTTTAGATGAAATTGCACCAGTAGTTTATGAGGAGTAGTCCAGACAAGCTTTTGTGTATCTGGCAACATACAGAAAAAAACACCTTTTTATCAAAGGGCCATAACTCGGCCAAAAATCATTCAACCGGAAAACCCGTGCAATATGCGCAAGGACTTGAGCTACAGATCACACCTGTAAAGTTTCACTGAAATTGCATTAGTGGTATAAGAGAAGTAGTCCGGACAAACTTTAAAAATTAAAATTATTAAAGGGCCATTACTCTGTCAAAAATCATTGAACCGGAAAATGCTGACAACATGCACAACTAGACTTGGTACTGATCATTCCTGTAAAGTTTGGATGAAATTGCACCAGTAGTTTATGAGGAGTAGTCCAGACAAGCTTTTGTGTATCTGGCAACACACAGAAAAAAACACCTTTTTATCAAAGGGCCATAACTCGGCCAAAAATCATTCAACCGGAAAACCCGTGCAATATGAACAAAGGACTTGAGCTACTGATCAATCCTGTAAAATTTCATGGAAATTTCATTAGTGGTATAAGAGAAGTAGTCCAGACAAACTTTAAAAATAAAAATTATTAAAGGGCCATAACTCTGTCAAAAATCATTGAACCGGAAAATGCTGACAATATGCACAACTAGACTTGGTACTGATCATTCCTGTGAAGTTTGGATGAAATTGCACCAGTAGTTTATGAGGAGTAGTCCGGACAAGTTTTGTGACGGACGGACAGACAGACGACGGAGAAGTGATCCCTATATGTCGCCACTACTCCGTAGAGGCGACACAAAAAGGTCATTAGATGCAGCAGACGGCAGACATACATGTTGACCTTACTTTTAATTCAGCAGACCATGAAACTGTGAATCTGAACAATAACAAAAGATATTGATTTTGAAGGAAATTTTAAAATTTAAACAAAAACAGTATGAAATTATTATGTTATCAATGTTAGGTAAAACAAGATGTGCAAGTTATTTCTGAATCTATATTACTTATATCTAGTATGTAAATAAACTATATAACAAATAGACTTATCAAAATCTAAGCTTTCAAATTACACTGATATATAAAATAACCTTCCAACTTTCATAAATTTTGTATATGTATATATTTCAAATCATACCATTTCATTTCAGATTTTATGTTGCAAATCCAAAATGGAGATAGCATTTAAACCCTTAATGAGTAAGAAAAGAAGTACTAATGCAGTTCCCTTGATTTAACACACTGCCAGCTGGAAGCAATAGATTCTACCCATACAACTACTGAACTAGTACAGACCAAAATCAGGCAATAATAAGTCACTCAAACTTGATACATGACAATGTGCTTCCTTACATTATTTCAGACAACGACACCATGGTAACACCATTAGCTTTCTTACATTATATATATAACAAGGATAACTTTCTTAAATGATATATATAATTTAATATAACAAGGATAATTTTCTAACATTATCTATATAATTCAATACAACAGTTAGTTTGTTTGTTTCATTTTACGCCTTTTCCCCAGCAGTATTTCAGTCATATAGGCGGGTAGTTTCCTAACCATCGTTCCTGGAGTTACACCAGTACTAGACTACCTTCCTCTGTGCTAAACTACCAAAGCATCTCCCGGGGATCGAACCCACGCCAGAGAGGTAACTGGATTAGCAGTCATCGACTCTAAACCCTCGACCACGGAGGCGGTAAGATAGCTTTCTAACAGTATATAAATAATTCAATACAATAAGGATTCTAGAGCATAGACAGGGGCATAATTAATTGACCTTTATTCTCTTAAGAAAAGATGCTGTCAAATGAAAAAATTTTATTTGACTTCTTCTAGCTATTAATTTGCACTGAACCATGAATTTTTTTTAGGAACAATCAATTTTTGCTCAAAGGCTTATGGATATGAAGTTGACTAACAGTTGCCTGTTTTTTTATCAATTATTCAGATATTTTTTCACTAAACCTAAAGTGCCACCAAACCAACGGACAAAGGTGTAAGAAAAAATCTATGGTTAGATCATATATGTGACTAGGAGACTAAATTAGACTAGAGAGTAGAAAGTTAGTATTCACTCACGCTCACCTGAGGATTTCCCTTCGCCAAATTTTGTATTTTACACCAGGTCTCTTCCCTTGACTTCATCTTCTCTTTCTCTCTGAAAATTATATCAAACATAGTATTTATGCTGGCATAAGGCAACCTATCTCTAATAAAGTCACACCCTGAAATTATAACAAACACATGAAAGGCTAGTATCTATGATGGCATAAGGCAGCCAAACATTAATACAGCAAAACCTTGAAATCAAATGCATAAAGGCTAGTACCCATGTTGGCTTTAAACAACCTATCTAAATACAGTCAAACCCTGAAATCATACCAAACAAATTAAAGGCCAGGACTTTTTTTGGCATCATTCCTGTCTTTTATAAATGAACTGCCTTCTTAGACTGATGTCAACTTTGCTATTATAAATGAAGTTGTAAATTCATACGCTACTGTAAGGAAAAGTACTAAATGAAAATATTAGTTTTCATAATTTCTTTCTGATTTATTATTAACACGCAATATGCAAGCGAAAAAAATCGAACACCAGGTGTCATCACAGACAGGAATATCTTGCTCTCAGGCAGAGCTTCATTACAGCCATAAACTGTTACGCAGTTTGATGGATTAAACGATGTTGGAGATATCAAGCTGGAAGTTTTAAGTTGGACAGGCAACAGAATCGAGACTGGTCAGACTGTACAAATGTGCAGGCCGGCCTGACTGTATAATGGTGGCAAAGGCTATTCATTATCAGTCCCAACATTCTGTGAGTAAATAACAGAGCTTACTATATGCTGACTTTTATTCCAGGGCATTATTTAGCACAAGATAGACTGTAAAAGTTCTTCAATAAAAGAGACAGTCTAATGATTTTGTAGAACAAAAAAATATAGGACAAGAAGCTATCAATTTCAAAGCATCAGCAGCCTACATAAGTGCCACTTCCTCCTACATTTAAATTCTTAAATACAAGAAATCAAAATCAATACTCCCTCATTCCATGGAAATGAAAATACTTTGATGGCATTTACGTGACATTATAATAGGAGATAAACAATGAAAATTCAATATTCACCTAGATATGATGAATTTTGATACTAATACTTGACATCATAGAAGGTAACTTGTAACTATTTCAAGAGTCTTTCTCATGGAAAACCTCCCTGTTATGTTATACAGTAAAAGCATATAGAAAAAATTCAATTCAAACAGAAAAAGTATAATGTCTAAACAGACCATACTAATAACTCCCAGGTCCACAGACCAATGCTCTATCTATTCACCTAAGAACAATGTATTAAATAGAGGATATTGAATGAGTATATGGGTTCAATACTAAAATTGAACAAGATGAATAAAATCATATTATGTCAGCCTCTGCCTCTGGCCAGTCCAATAAATTTAGTATTGAATTTACACAAATATAATATTCTGTTTATCACATACCCAAAATAAGAATTGTTTACAGTGTAAAAGATTCAATTTTTCATAGACGCTCATATTATGTTACGCTAACATCGAGTGTCTTTACGCTATGTCTATATAATACCAAAACATATGCACGGCAGTGCAATACTGTTTTTACTGAGTGGCAAAAGCGCCACTGTTGTGTGATAAATCTAATTATGCCATTTTTTTTTCAGTCACATAAACACTAATGATGGTCAAAACAATATGGCAACCATCTGGGCTGATAGTCTAATAAAGATCTTTTTTTTTTCATCTTGTTCATGAATTCAGCCATGTTCAGGCATCAAGGTAAAAAACTACCTCCTGCATATATCACGTACCCTATACAGCCCTCTTAAGTTTGTTTGTTTGATTGGGTTTTACCTCACACCGACACAGTATAGGTCATTTGGCGACGTTCCAGCTTTACTGGTGGAGGAAGACCTCAGATGCCCTTCCGCGCATTATTTCAGGCGCGAACGGGCACCTGAGTAGAACCACCGACGTTCCGTAAAGCCCTCTTAAGTAAAAGGAATCAAGACTTTCAGGTATACATCGGACAGCAAAATAAGTTTGATGTTTGAGACCTAAACCAAGTGCAGCAAAAACACAGCTTCAAATATAGAAATTACTCACTTTTGTCTTTCAGTTTTATACTGTTGTGTGCAGTCGTCAAAGAGTTTCTGATTCATTTCCATAAACAACTTTAAGGCATTGTAAATTAAACCATGAATTGTTCTGAAACACAAAACACAATTCATTAGGAAATCTTCTACTTTTTACATCTAAAATTTGCATACCTTCCTTGAAAACTAACTGGTTTAAACAACAATTTTATCAGAGGAAAAAATAAGAAAGAATAATCTGTTTTTAATATATAAATGTAACAAAATGGCAGAAGTAAAGAACAGTGTTAGCACTTACAATACCAAGCTTTAAATTTACAGATCTGCAGATGTTTTAGTTGTTAACCCTAGGATAACAATAAAATAGAAAATTCACAAAATGAATTGATTTTATATCTACTTAGTATTTTATTACCCTGAAATTCATAAAATCAATAATTTCAATCAACAAGACAAAATGTTCTTGTTGTTTGAGAAATGTAAATGAGTTTTGGCAAGATAATTCATTTTCTATTATTTCAATGTTTTCGAGGTGTTTATTGCAATTCTTTTTCCTTAAAGAAGATTTTCATATTCAATTTTTTCAGTATCACAAAACAAGAATCTATGATACAATCAGGAATTACTTCTGTTGTGTTTCCTACCTTAACAAATAGTTACTTACAATGATATGTTAATTGCAACATAAAGTTATATTTATTTCAGCACTCAACTTAAACAAGGAAAACTAATAAAATTATTATGTTACTAAAATGAAAGTACCATGCAATAAATATGTATTATTCATATACTACTATGACAGATGCCTTATTAAACAAGAGCCAGCCGTAACACAGTGCGCTCTTCTATTCTCAGTGCCTGACAGTAAGAAAAGGGGAATAATTCTGTAAAAAAGGTAACTCAAGAGTTATGGGACCTGTGCCTGTCACAGAAGATAATCCCTTCTGTAGTTTTGGAGATACAAACTTGCACCCAAGAGTTTAACCAAAGTGTGACAGCCATACCGGTCGGGTTGAGTACACTTACTCTTTGGTATAGTCAAGCTAAAATCTGGATTACTACTGTTGTGTATATTGTAGATGTTCAGAAGTACCTTTTATGTACCGTACATAACACCATAAGATTACTAAACCTACATAAAATTGCTTTATATATGCTCAGAAAACATTTACATCTAATACAATGCTTTAGAGAGGTTATAACTACAAGATACCCTACCTATAGTTGTCACAAAAAATGCTCCTTTACAGACAGGGTTTTTCATATAATACAAATAGTTATGTACTTTACTATTGTCACATTTCTGTACTACTATTACTATGTACTTACTATTTAAAAGAGACATATTTCATCAGTACCTATGAGATACTACCTAGCCTTTACCATATTCAAATCTGTGTAATAATATTGTCATGCATTGAACTAGGAATAAACTACAGTTAGTTTAAAGAATTATCATTTCAAACTTCTACAAAATGAGTAGATAACAGTTAAGAATTTGGTCATAATGCACACACATGTTGGCCTAGTTGTATACACCAGTGGTAGATTAGAGACATGTCATTAACACTGCAGACATTCAGTGAATCACAATACAGGATATATTTGCAGTTTCTCCGTAATATTTTTCTAGTACGCTTACTTGTTCCAATGCTCTTTGGTTTTATACAATGCTGGAAAAGTGATGGGCAATATTGTCGCTGCATTGTCGCTGATAAGACTCAAAATATACTCATTGTTCCAAAAATAAAGGGCCCGCTCAGCAACCTAGACAAACAAAAACGTAACATCTAAACAAAAAATTCAACAAAAATAATAACAGTTAAAACAAGCATTCACTGTAACTGATATGAATGCTTGTTTTTGTTTTTATATATATTTTTCATTCATGTAAAACACACACACAATCATTCACAGTAAAACCTTCATAATTTTTTTAATCATCCAAAAACTCAGTCTACAATAATTGCATATATAAAAGCATATTTTTTTATTTGAATCATCAATATCAGTTTTATTGCCATATTTTTTTTTTAATTATCTGGAAACTAAAACTGTATTTTCATGATCATATCAAGTGTTTTTTTGTTGGCTTAGAATATTTACTTATTTTTCTTTCTAGTCTTCAAAGCTTACATAATATTTCAACTTTAAAATTTCAACTTACATCATTCACAAAATGAAGATTTTACTGTAAATAATACTGATAATAAAAATCAACATTATCATTTCACTCAGGTTTCCCTCATGCATAAAACAAAACAAAATGCACTTATCAAGACTGAAAAAAAAAAATTAAGAAAATGGAAAGAAAAGAAAAACCATTCCACGGTTTTACCTTAAACTCTTTCATTACTGATTTTTTAACTAAACTAGTCCTGTTTTAAATCAAGACATATCCTGTGTTGTTTATACAAATAACATGATTGAAATTTTATACAAATAGTAACAGGTTATACTGCATGAAATTTTCCCCTGAACTGTTTGTAAAATGATGAAAAAGGCTTGCAATTTCTTGTTCCAAATACTTGAAAGATTTAAAGAATTTTTTCCCACTATTACCAGCTTTTTGTTGAAATACTCATGCTTATCAAATAGTGCAAATAAAATGATAAACATTGAAAAATAATATATTCACAGTCATCATACAGAAGAAAGAGAAAAAAAAATAAAATAAATGATGTTACATGTTGCATGGAGGAAATCGTAAAACTGCTTTCAATTAATTTGGTGAAAAGTAAACACATGCCTTTATGAGTTTATCAAATATAATGACAAAGATAAAAAAAATTAAGCCAAGATGAAAAATAAATATAATTTATTTTACTTTGACTTTAAAATAAATAAACATAATTAGAACAATGATCAGTTCTATCATTTAAAACTTGAACAAACCTCATAATAAACTGATATATACATGTATATATTGTTCAAACAGATAATTTTATCCAAAAATAATCAAATTTACCAAAATATACCATATATAATAATATATCAAAAATGTCACTGATTAATTCACCTAAAAACTTTTCAAGCAAACATGTAGATCTATATGGAAAAAAAAAATTTAAAAATTTAAAAAAAAATTCGAAAAGAAAATTACTGAGGATTACTTTTTGTTCATAAGCAGTTTTACAATTTTCCTGTGTTACTTCCATGCCATAAAATATGTTAAAAAAAACATCTCATGCTTCCAACTGTCTGAGCAAAACATAGGCTCAAAGCTTACTTGTTCCAATGATGTTTTGTTTTATACAATGAGGGAAACATAAGAGGTAGGACACAATCTACATTCTCACTGATCAAACTGAGAATATATTCATTGTTCCAGTAATATAATGCTCTTTCAGCTACCTGTAAGTATACAATACATAGGAAACATAACAATAATTTATATGGTCATTGTAGTAAGACATGACCATTTCTCTGCACAAATGGAGGGGATTTTTCTTTAATCACACAGACATTGGACCATATACTTAATTTCCAGTTTTCTCTGGAGGACAAATTGTATGGCCCCCAAGTTTCCTTCCCTGCACTCTTCATAGCTAGTGAGCCACATATAAGTAGAACATTTAACCTTCTACATTCTGACACTTTTCATATATTTTGTATAAAAAACAAATCTAAAATGCTTACAAGTCATTTTCACAGAAATTTTTCCCTATATTAACAGTCGAATATAGGCCATTTTCCATATTTAAACCCAAAAATGCTATCTTTTTCTCCTAAAATGTCCTGTGCACATTTGTCCCCAGAAGAGTGGCTTCACAGCAGCTGTCTTAGATCAGCTATTGATTCATATGTAATTGACTGAAAGACAGACTATAGATAGCCATATGTACAGTACCTAGCATGTCAAATTGAAATTAATTTGAAACTTAGATTAAATGTGTGGTTATGTTACATTTTCATCTTTGGGTGCTTGATTTTCAAATTCTTCCCTTTTCTGATAAATCATTCTATATTTTCTCCTTAAGAAAGTCACTGATTGATTTGAAAAAAAAATCACTGTAATAAGGAATATAAGGACTTGTTATGTTTCCTTAACTTTAACAACAGAATTGGACTGTAAAAACAAATAACACAAACCTGAAGAAATACCACTTCTAGAGAATGATCCCTAGTTTTAACTTTTGATTGTTTGACAGGAAACGTTCAATATGTGATTATTCTAAACCTTGTATATTTAACCTTTCCTGACTTTGGAATGATCTATCACTAATCTTTAACCTACTGAATTTGTGGAATGGATTTGGCAAGCTTTGAAAGAGGAACATTCCATTGAATGTTGAGCAATATGATAAGCAAAATACAAAAACTGAGCTCCCAACAGTAATGAGCCTGGTCAGAGTTCACTGATGTGCAGATTGGCCTGGCTCTATACTGGTGGCAAAGGATAAGCTCTTTCTGTTACAGCAGAGCGAGACTTTTCATTTACAAACTGATAAATTAGTGAAACCAAAATGCAACACTCTAAAATTGATTCAATCTTTATTTTTCTGTAATGGAGTTGATTTTGGTCAGAAAATTTCCAATCACTTTAGGCTATGTTGCAACATCAGATTGTTAAATAAGTGCATAAAAACAATCTCAAGACTGATATGTTTGACTGACTTTATAACGTATTCCCAATACAAGATACAAGGCCAAGGCCTGTATTATACATACCTGAAAATGTGGACTTGAAACACACTTGGCTAACTGTTTAAACAATGGAACCATCACTTTAGTGAATTCAGCTGGTTCTATCACATCTAATATTTCCTCTAATTCATTGAGAAACATCACCTGTGTAACATAGTAAAACAATATGTTAAGAAGCTTTCAAATATACAGTAATGACAAACTTTTACCTTGTTTGTCTGTGCAAACTAAATATTGCCAAAAGATCCAGGTTAACAAAGGAAATGATTCAAATATGTATGCAATTTGTACAGGTACAGTATTCCTAAATTCTTTCACAGATTGATTAATTTTCATGAAAGAGGTATTTTATTTACATTGAAAAAAGGGAGTGTCTTTCATAAAATTTAGCAACATAAATAAATTTGATATAAATCTTGTTCTTCAATCAGATTATCATTACTGAAGACTTAACTGTACAACTAGCTTTTGATATTAATTTCATTTAAATTACATTATCAAGATTGATAATCGAATGCACTTTATTTCACAAAATCTGCATATTTAGTCAGTCATTTTCCTAGTATGTTCCTTTATCATTAATATATCTTTTGTTGGTCAATAGGTCAATCCAACACAGTAAAATTCTTGTGGTGACTTTCAAGCATACATAAGGAAAATACATCAGATGCCTCTCTATGAATAATTTCAAGACGAGATTTGTTTTGGCATAATGTACATACATGGTAATATAACACATGGAGTAAGGCATAACATCACACAAACATGAGCACAAAAACCATGAAATGCACACTTACACCAGAGTAACACAAAAAGGGTAAACCCATATTTCCATTACCCTAAGCACAAGCTTCTTATGAATAAAATACTCTGAAACTGTGAAACTGTAATATAAACATGCACAATAAATGAAATTCTCTCATACCTCTTTAGGACTGTGAACTTTTGGCCAAAACTTTAACAGTGCCATTATAACCTGAAATATACACACACACATATATATATGTACATAACAATTGGTCACATTTTTCAGCATCAATATAATGCTTATTTCCAACACCAGAGAAAATTCCTGCCGTATAGATGAAATAGAGGATATTGAATATGTATAGCTTTAATACTACATTTATTCAACGAGTTCAAAAACTTAAGTATTGATTCTACACAAATATACATGTATTTCTTTATCACATAACTAAAATAAGAACTGTTTACAGTTAAAAAGTAATTTTTCCATTACGTGCCTTGAGTGCAAAGCCAATATTAACACTCTTTAATGCTATGTTTGTATATAATGTAAAAGACGTCAAGTCAAAGTGTTATTACAAGCTGGACTCATGCATAACACAAATGCATACAGGTATGATTTAGTAAAAAGCTTTCAACATTCAATTTGTGAAATCAGTCAAAAAAAACATATTTTTATTACAAATTTGAAATTCAAACTTACCGGTTCTGTGAGACTGGGATCCTTTTCAAGGAATTGTACCACACAGTAGGCCAGCTGTGGGTGATACACGCTCAGAGACTTCACCTTGTGTAACGGCAGAAGAACTTTCAATAAAAACACTTTATGCTCTTCCTTCAAAGGTAGCGCAAATCCATTGATAATACTGGAAAGAAAACAAAACAATCCAACTTGTCAACAATTCAAACCGAACTATTGACTTTATTTCATCAATGATACCCAGTCTATAACCTATTCTCCTACAATATATTTGTCCTGCAAAACAACTGAATTATACATTCCCATACAGCATAAACAAACCAAAATGTTGGATATTTTACCTAAACTATCGCATAAAACATTTTAGTAAATTGTGAAGCAAAGTGAATTGAAACTATGTACATGTAACTTGAAAATGACTGATTAAAAAGGAAATTATATATTTCACTAATTGTTGAATACATAAAGCATTTACTATCTTATACAACAATTAGTAACAATTTCATTTTCTATTCGCCAAGGCAACTTTCAAATGTACGCTACAGCGAATACTCCTTTGCATAAAAAATATATTCTACTTTCGCTAAGCAACCACTTAATGCTTTACACATGAGAATATTATAGAACTGCGCAAATGAACAAATGAAAATGAGTGAAATAATGTGATACAAAATAAATATCTTACTGCTTCAAACCAAACTGGGAGAAAAGTCCGAACAACTAAGGTAGTAGATTTTGTTTAGAAATTGACTATGCTTACCTTCCTAAGATCTCTAAAAGCTCTGCTATCCCATTATGGCGTCCTGTTTCATATATAAAACTGAAAAGATACGGTATAAAGACTTCATTCTCATTTGGGTTATAAGTCATTACAATAATACCTACCTCCCTAGAATCTCTAAAAGTTCTGCTATTCCACTATGTCTTTCTGTTTCATATATGAAACTGAAAATAAACAACATAGACACAGGATGATGTATCGTAAGTTGTTTGTTTCTTTGATGATAAATGATGACGTGATATCCAAGCTCGCACTGTTGTACATATGTCATGGCCACAAACCAATGTTTATTATTTTACACCTTTTTCATGGTTATACCTTGATTTGGGATCATTTCTTTAAGGGATTTCAACATCAAAATAAAGATGTGTTGTTAAGTGAGTAAACAGTAGAGGTTGATCAGACTTTACTATGTGGTAGGCCCAGTTGTATGATAATTCCGAAGAACTTTTCAATTTTGCTGCTAGATATCAAAAAGTGTTTGACAACACTGGCATGTTCATGCCAATTATTAAGCTAAGACACTCTTGTGAAACCTTTCTAACGGACTGATCCATATTTTATTTTCTTCTTACAATCCATCAGTTGGAACAAAAACCATAGGGTAATGACTTACTTTTTTACTATCTGGATTTTTCATGAACTTTTCTATTGAATGGGTATGTTTTTTTAAATGCAGATTTGGACAAAATTGCCTGGATATTTTAACCCCAATTTAGATATGTTCTCACATAGATATAATGGCCAATGGTAATTAGCTAGAAGGCACAAAGCAGACTTGAAAGCATCGCCACATATCTGACCACTGATTTTTATCCTATATTAAGGAGTGAAAGGAATTATCTCTGTCACTCAAGTAATTGTTTGGATGACACCAATAAGTTATTATTTGAAAGGAAAACATTAAAAAGTTCTTACAGAAACTTGATAGGCTTCAGTTGATTTACTATCAAAGCTGTTTACCTTTTCTTTTAAGTTTTTAATACGAGGTTAAAATTTCTTTATTTATGTTACGGAAAATTTTATATTTTTTATTTATATTTTATAAACATAATTTTTTATCTGCACTCTTCAAAATTGGCGGACAAGTTGGTGAACATATTCCCTTATAATATCTCAACAAAGATCCAAAAGTGGTTTATATTACAAAATGTACTTATACATGTATTTAAATTAGTACTATTTTTTTTCTCCAAGTCTACAAATCAATATTTACAGAAGTAAAGTATATCAGAGCTTATTTTATTATGATTGCATGTCTTCAAAACTTCTACAGATTACACACACACAATCTGATCAGAGCCTATCTATACAATCTTCACCAGAAGTTTATCAGTCGGCAGAGAATCTCCCTACGGTCTTAGTGACAAATTGATTCCTGTTTTACTACAGCTACATTGCTCAGTGTACGAGGAAAGACAGAAGCTTGTTTTAAGACCAATTTATCTATTTTATGACCCGAAGAAAACATTTTTTGAAGAAGAAAAATACTGTCCTTGTCTGACATGTTAGGTTAATCTAAGACTAATGAAATGAATGAATGAAAACCCAATTATTGTGTCTGCAGTTCTACAAATATGACACTTCTTTCTAGACAAAACATCTAGATATATAAGAATTTTTCTTCCAAAATATAGAACCATTCAGTCATAAGAAAAACCAGATTTACATGGCTCATCATTTCATTGACATTGTAATTCAAAGTACTAACTTGTCTTTTAAAGGATAGTAAGAATTTCTGATTATTTTTAATAATTTCTCATGACAATTTTTTTCTCAAATGTATCATATATACCAATTTCTTGCTTAAACATTTTAGTTTTTTTCCTTTAATGATTTGCAGTCAATCTGATGTTGGTACACTTAAGGAAATAGGATATGTTTTTTTAAGGCAGCCAATGTCAACAGCAACAAGAGCCTCATACTTGCTTTCTAATTTTGGAACGGGGTGTAAGTGACTAAAAGGCACATCACTAATGTAAAGGTCATGGTGACTTCCAAGCTTCTAGTGACTGAGGAAAAACCCAAGGTGACCCTGCAATCATTATCAAACACAAGCATGAACCTAGATTGTACAATCAACCGTTCTGCAATGCTGAATAAACAACTCAATAAAAGATAATAAAGCTTGAATAATGTTTAAAACACCAACATGTTAATAGCATAGTGCTCTATCCGACAACTATATTTGATAAGTAAGCTTACCTATAAAAAATATTATTAATTTGTTTCCTAATATATGCTCTCAATCCCAGGAATTTCCCATAAATTCTGTGTAATATAGTCTTCTGAAAGTCTCTCTCTCTAGGATCTTCACTATCAAATAACTCCAATAACTGTAATCATAAAACATTCCAATTAGAGCAGGGGAAAAACAATGATGATAATTGAGCCGTGTCACGACAAAACCAACATAGTGTGTTTGCGACCAGCATGGATCCAGACCAGCCTGCGCATCCGCGCAGTCTGATCAGGATCCATGCTGTTCGCTATCAGTTTCTCTACTTGTAATAGGGTTTGTAAGCGAACAGCATGGATCCTGATCAGACTGCGCGGACACGCAGACTGGTCTGGATCCATGCTGGTCACAAACACATTACGTTGGTTTTGTCGTGACGCGGCTCATATTATTTTATCTATTTTATCAAATATTATCGTGCCATGTACAAACAACAATCCAATTATACATTTGTTAACTAAAGGTCATGGTTTTTTTACTTATTTTTTATGAAGATTGAAATAAACAAGAACATTTATAGAACTTGTTAGGATATCTTATTCAAGTTGCAATTTTGTTACATCCAGTCTTAAATTTTATTTCTAATTTATCCTCACACCACTAATGCCTTTATACAGAGAAAAATATTTGACAAAGCTCTTCATCCTGCTTTTCAAAAACTTCTGTTTTCACTGTTTTAAAACAGAGAAAATTTTAGAAAATGGTCTCCATTTTTTTAAGATATTTCTGTACAATATGTTCTCTGCAATTTTGACTGCAACATTGTTAAATGAAATGATCTCTATACATTATTTAGTCACATGCCAAGCTGAGTTTTAATTCATTAATAAATAATGGAACTTCACTCATGAAAATCATTTGACTTGATACATACTGTATGTGTAGAAATTTTCGAGGGCTTCAAATTTTCGCGATCTTCGCAGTGACATTCTATCCGCGAATTCATGTTTAGCGCGAATATTTCTACACCAATAATTCCTCAATAGTCATATTTTCGCGCTTCTATAGAACAATTTATATCGGTGTGTGATATGCTTTCACACTTTTTATCTAAATGTTTACTGAGTAATCGTGTTTTGTTTTCCAAGTTATTCATGACTTAAAATAGTTTATGTTTGTGTTTTTTTGTATTGTTTGTTAAAAAAAAAACTAAAACATTATCTTATCAGATGTCAAGATGTTTATGACGCAAACTATGAATAATTATGCACGTTAACGGGCATTCTTTTGTTTGCTAAAATCTGTCCGCTAGACAGTTTCTTTTTTCCGTACAATAGCGTATTGTTAGACACCTAGTATTGAAAATAACTATGAACTCCCACAATGTTTACAGTAATTTTCCTTATTTTTTAGATTTTCGGCAGTCACCTCCGCGAATTCAAAATAGCGCGAATATTTGTATAGACCCCCAAAAAGGATCTTTCCGCGAAAATTTGCTTCCGCGAATTTAAATACACATACAGTAATATTTTGCACTTGTAATCAATAGATGTGTCACAGAAATATATCACTTTCACTTTCAATTAATAGAACATGTTTATTCTGGATTTATCTTTATAGTTTGAGAGGTTTTTTTGTTTTGTTTTTAATATTGTTACCATCCATAGCAAATGTTACACCATTCAACTTCAGTCCAAAAATCCTATAGTTTAAAAGTCATTGTAAGTAAAAGACATTGAGTAACTTCTGGTCAATAATGTTATCTATTCTTGAGTGCAAAAAATAACACAGATATAACAATTATATATTATATATACCTGTAAAACAAACTTCTGGTCTATATATCTTTTAGCTGTATTTGGCTGAAAATCGGGAGACTCTAAAAACCGCAGAAAAAACTCGTACACCAGCTGAAAGGAGAATTGAAAGATTAAATTATTTTCAGCTTGCAGTTATCAATAAGTCTTAGTTACCATTCTCACCAAAATAGAACATTATTGGCACTCTTCTAAACTAAAATCTCTAAAAAAAGATTCAAAATTTATTCAAGTTATTTTATGTAATAGCCTTTATATCCTTTTAACCGTAACTGGGCTTTTCTAAAAAATAAATAGAGGATACTGAATGAGTGTAGTTTAATACTAAATTTAAATAAAATCATATTATGCGAGCCTCTGGCGAGCATAATATTGTTTTATTCAACGAGTTCAATAAATTTAGTATTGAATCTACACGAATATAATATTCTATTTATCACATATATAAAATAAGAACAGTAAACTGTTAAAATATGTAATTTTTCAATGACGCGCCTATAGTGTTACGCTAACATTAGCGCCCTTTAAAGCTATGTTTCTATATTGCGCAAATGACTTAATGTCAAAGTGTTATAACACTAGCATAATATCATTTTTATTAAATGGCTTTATTACACTCCTGCGCCGTGGTTTATGTGATAATACAAGATATTTTATATTTTGACCACAAGGGAAGCATTTAAGGATTATATAAGTTTGTGACTATTACAGGATAATTCCAGGCGGCTGTAATGCCATCAAATTTGATTCAAACAATGGATTATCTTTTATCAAAATTCATACAACAGCCAACCTCAACCAACAGTGAAGAAAAAATGAGAAATCATGTTGAAATGGAAGAATACATAGAAACCACACATTTACAATGGATTAATATGTACAATTTTAATTTAATTAAGATCTATCGGTTTTGAACCCATCTGGTTCTTCCTCATATTAAATCATAAAAAGAACAATGAAGCAGGTCTTGAAAATCTTGAATCGTTTGAAAAAAATACAAAACTATTTTAATATTCTACCAAAAAAACAAGAGCTGTCGGTAGGACAGCACGCTCGACTATTCTTAGTGCTTGATAGTAAAGGAGCCTTGATAATGTTAAATTTTTTAAGTTCACAAAAGGGCTAATTTTTTTTTATAAATTCATGTTATAGGCCTTAGAGAGAGTCTAATTATACAGTATTGGCTTGACTATTCGGAAGGTAATGTCACAAGGGTGTTTTATTGAGTATAATAATACTAATTACCTATGAATACATAAATTTGACAGAAAAGGTACAAAGGCTTGTTATTAAGATGTTTTATCAAGTAAATGACTGATTTATTATTATGAATGCATAAAAGTGTCCCAAAAAAGGCACAAACCCTTCAGTAGTTATTGAGATAACAGCTTACAAGCAAAACCCTACCATGAATTTCTAAGTTGAAAAAGGGGAGAAAAATCAGCCTAAATGCAAGATAGAATTATGGATCTTTGTCAGTGACCTACAATTATGACCCTAAATGCATATGTGAAGTTTTAAATAAATATCTTTAATAGTTATTGAGATATGTAAAACTTGCATGTAAACATTAACCAAAAGACTAAGTGGAAAAGGGGATATGAATCAGCCTTTATGCAAGATAGAGTTATGGAACTTGGTCAGTGACATACAATTATGACCCTCCAATTATGACCCTAAGTGCATGTGTAAAGTTTCCAGTAAATATCTTTGAAGACCTTTAACTTTTAACCAAAATTTCTAAGTTTTAAAGGGGCAAATAATTCTGCAAATATTGCAGGCAGAGTTATGCAATTTCGCAAACTGGTGTACATTGTTACTATAAATAAGTATTGTAAGTTTCAATTGAATATCTCAAGCAATAATTGAGATATTTGACTTTACAAAAAAACTTTAACCAAAATTTCTAAGTTCCAAAGGGGCATAATTCTGTCAATATTGTAGGCAGAGTTATCCAACTTGTCAATCTGATGTACCTTGTTACTATAAATAAGTATTGTAAGTTTCAATTGAATATCTCAAGCAATAATTGAGATATTTGACTTTACAAAAAACTTTAACCAAAATTTCTAAGTTAAAAAGGGGCATAATTCTGTCAATATTGTAGGCAGAGTTATCCAACTTGTCAATCTGATGTACCTTGTTACTATAAATAAGTATTGTAAGTTTCAATTGAATATCTCAAGCAATAATTGAGATATTTGACTTTACAAAAAAACTTTAACCAAAATTTCTAAGTTCCAAAGGGGCATAATTCTGTCAATATTGTAGGCAGAGTTATCCAACTTGTCAATCTGATGTACCTTGTTACTATAAATAAGTATTGTAAGTTTCAATTGAATATCTCAAGTAATAATTGAGATATTTGACTTTACAAAAAACTTTAACCAACGCAGACGCCGACGCGGACGCTGACGCCGACGCCGGGGCGACTACAATAGCTCTCATATTCTTCGAATAGTCGAGCTAAAAACCCATATACATATATTTTCCTATCAACTGTCACAAACATGACTATTACCTGTAAGTGTGGCCAGGCGGCTTCTAAGGTGGGTTCATCCTCCTCTGGGTCAAACTCGGCACCACTAGGATTGGATGATGGAGGTAACGTTCGGAATAAATTGGTAGCAAACTGAAATACATAGTTGGGGGGAAAAAACATTGAAAGGTATATTTTTTAACTAAAATAACCAAACGGGTAGATTATGTCACATTGTTTACCTTATTCGTGGCATCCAAAACAAGAGATTTTTTTTAATTGGTATTCAACCTGCTTATTATGAAATGAACATGTTCAGCCTTTGGGTTGTTACAAATAACTGTCTACTGTACAGTTTCAAGAACTTCAACATCAAAACAGCCAAAAGTATAGGGTGCAGTCAGACTGTACAAATATGTAATACACATGCCTGGCTCTATACTGGTCAAATATTCCTGTCATTTATTGCAATAAGCACTCAAATTTTAAATAGAATATTTGACCTTTCAGTGAGACAAAGAAACCCTGTGTTTAAAGGAATAGTTGCTTTCACAGTTAGGTTACTTTGAGCTTATAGCTATTACAACTTTCACACTGGTATTACAACTCTACAACAGTTGTATTTATTCTTGACATTTATATGCCTAAAGTTTATAAGATTTTAACAATTTTTCGCAGTTTTGGTGCGATCAATAGAAAAGTTATTCATAATCTAACAACTGGGAGCATCAAGTAAACATGCAGATAGAAGTTAAAACAAAAATTTTGCTTTCAGAGTTTCAGCCTTTTATGGCAAAATTGGCTCCTCTGCCTTCCTAAGATAAATTCCCCCTATTTCCCATATTTTCTTACATTTGAGAAATTTTGGCAAAAAATAGGATATTATTGAAATGCCTTCTTCAGACTGGCTGTAAACAGTTATACACTTTATACACCTAAAACAAAGAATTTTCCTCTAATTGAAATCCTAAATGTGACCAGTTTATAAATTTTAAGGGTCAAATTCACAACCTTGTCTCATTTACTTATTTGTCTCCCCCTATATTTGTGAATTTCAGTATTTTATTTTTATAAATGTACATTAAACTTATTACCATATGGATGGCTTCCGGGTATATTGCATCTGTAATGACCCCTCTATTTTGTGTTACAAATTCAACCATCTCATTGAGTGCTGCACGTTTGACCTCTTTCCATTTAAGGTCACTAAGTGGATCTTGCATGAAGTCAAATAGAACACAACATTGTCGTAGCTTCTGAATAAACAGCTCTTCTCTCTCTGCCGGGGTAGCATCTGAAACAAAAACATATAAAACATATTTTATATACACACTAGGCACGGATCATAAACATAAACTTAGGGGCCTTATTACAATTTTTTTTTAGGGGTTGGGTTTTTAACATTCACACCAACACAGTATAGGTCATATGGCTACTTTCCAGCTTTACTGGTGGGAGGGTTTTATAGACCTCTTTATTACATAATAAGTAACATGAGAACCAACTGTCACTATTCCACACAAATGATCCAAAGGCACCCAGCCACTGGCGCAAACAAACATACATCAATCTAATAAACAGATTTTTTTCTTAGGAATACCTTCCTAACAATAAATCTAAATAATATATCTTCACCACTCCTTGGAAGTCAGAAGAAAGAAGAAAAAATAATAATGAAAATTATTTTCAAACAAATCTTGCAGAATACCAATCCTACAACAATGCCTCAATTAGTTGCTTGAGCTGAGATTATATCTCTCTGTGGAATGTACAAGAGAAACCTGAAAACCTAAATCTATATAGCTTCATGATCTAATGTCACGAGAAAGATGTAAAAAAAATATAGAATTTTTATTTCTCAAGAACTTTGATAAACAAGTTTCCCTTGAGTTTGAAATCAGTCAATTATATTGCTCCTGTTTCCAGATTCATGAATTTAATCAGATAAGATCTACGCACACACAAAAAAATCATGACACAAAAACCTTATTTGTGTTTGAAGAAAACTGTCTATTTCTCCTACAGAATACCAAACTCAAGTACATGTAAATGTCTCCTACTTTTGCCAATAAGTAAGCACTAAGGCTAAAATACCGGGAAATAAAGATTTCAAACTACTGATTCAATCAAGGAAAAGCATAAAAGAAATGCTGGTAATATATCCTCCTATCTTAACTGAGCTGTTTTAAACAGGCCCAATAATCACTGACAATCTTCTCCTAAAAGTCGAAAATACACAGTATAATTACATTTTCTTCCTAGAATCTGTTCATTCGACACACAATGCATAAAGTATGAGTAACTAACAAGTTATAACAACTGCTTATTTGGAACTTTCTTAGTTTTCAAATGATTCGAGATTTTTTTTCTTTCTCAACATGTTTTTCAAAGTTTAAACTTTCTACCAATACAAGCACTGAACAAACAAATGCATTACAACATGTAGCCTACAATGAACTTAATCATTAAGTAAATGTACAATTATTTGCTATCTCCCTGTATAAAATATCGAATGAATAATTGTAAAGTACCTTTACAGAACTGCTGGCTGATATTTGCAAAGGAATACGTCATTGCGACAATAATCCGCGCATATCAGACTGATGGTGAAACAAGAGACATCTGCATGTATACTTTCTAACCTAGTAATCACTTTACATAACCAACTTATAGCATTGTCTTTCTTCCCCCTTAGATAGGCAGGTGCATGGATATTATTATATAGTATAAACTTGAGAAAAAACCATAATTCTACCTGCCAATGAAAAATCAATTCTGTAACTATAGTGACTTTATCAATAGTATACTATTCAAAGTAATGTAACATTTCATTTTTCTTCTCCGCTATAATTCTAACATGCTGCTCTAGCGGTATTTAGCATTAAATTTAATATCTAAGTCACACAAATCAACCTGAGAGTATTACATTGTTTCAACTTCATCAGGATGATGTCTTTCTGACAAGATATTCCAAGAGAAAATTTCTTTTATTAAAGTTGGGTATGAAGATGTTCCAGATCTGTCAACGATCAAAAAAGGTCATATAAACTAGGGGGAAGGTCCACTATAGTTTTGTAACATCTTCAAGTCCTATCCTTCTGAATGCTCTGTCATATACAGTACACTTTTAATGCATGTATGTAAAATTGTGATAAATTGTATGTATATTTATAACAGTAAAATATTAAACTGGAAATAAATTGCCAAAATAAAATTTCTATTTGCATAATATTATATACCAAAATATTCCAGTACTTATTTATATCAAGGTCTGATCAATGTCATATGAAAAATAAACATACAAAAACCTCAATAGCTTGTGACTTACTAATAAATATTGCACATAAACAAAAATAGCATATTCTCAAGTTACCCTATTTATTACCTGTAATTTTCATAAATATATTTTACATTAGTTTTTCTCCCATTTCAATTCATAATCAATCCCAGCTATTAATGATGGAATTTATTTCTGAAGGCAATATTCCCATCATCGAGTATCTTGCGAAAGCTGAACAAAGCCCTATTGTGGGAATCTGCCCGTGTGAATATACAGACACCTACAATCAGCAAACTGATAACAGCTTATTTGCTGATGACATAATTGAGCTGTGTCACGACAAAACAAACGTAATACGTTTGCGACCAGCATGGATCCAGACCAGCCTGCGCATTCGCGCAGTCTGATCAGGATCCATGCTGTTCGCTATCAGTTTCTCTACTTGTAATAGGATGCAGATGCGCAGGCTGGTCTGGATCCAAGCTGGTCGCAAACGCATTATAATGGTTATGTCATGACACGGCTCAATTTTGCTGATGACATAATTAACCATTACATACCTTACACTCAATACAATATTTATGACTATTGTCAGATAGTAAAATGTAATTATTCAAATACTCATGAATATGACTCTCTCAACTTTGACTGACCTTAGAATTTAATGTCCTAATCTACATACTAATGACATGGTAAATTTTAAGATCTACAGCAATCCTATTGACAGCTTTTATACTCACTTAGCTTTCACTGATTATATAAATAAAGAATGGCATATATCCAATGTTGTTGTTTTTCTTTACATAGATGATTATAAACTCAGAGACGGTTGCATTATTTTCGAAACTAATTTGAAACCTGCTTTCTGTTAGTTTAAAATTATTTATTTAAGCTTTATGAGAAGGAAGCTTGTTGTTTCAACCCGTCTGCTTCTGAGAGAGCTGCGGTAACCAGTCCTGCGTCAGATATATGTTTTTGACCTCAAAATGGCTCAAACTAATTATTCCCCAAGTTGAGAGGCAAACTACTTAACCACAAAACCAGAGCATTGTATTGAAAACTTTAGGAGACTTGTCTTTCGTTGACATCCTTTTCCAATATGTAAAAAAATTTTGTTTGTTGTTTATTTGTATGTACATTATAATATATCTTTGGGAAACCCAAACATTATAGTATACATGTATACTGCCTTACACACAGTAAGTCCTTTTTGTAGACTGTTTGAAATGAAAATGCGCATCAAACAGACATATTCATGGATATACTAGTAATCAAAAGAAATTTCAGACAAAAAAAATAAATATAAAAAATTCATTGATGTCAATAACATAAGTCTAGGTGTATCTAATGTGGCCATCTCAATTTTCAGTATATCTTGATCGTGCTCTGAAAAATCAATGTGGTCATTGGTTATTCTGCAGTAAAAATGGTCCGAGGATCTACAATTGGAATTAATAAGCTGGTGGTTTCAGGAAAGGCGCAATAACAATATACTTTTTGATGATTGTTTCCTAACTAACCTTTATCATTTCCTTGTACAGTTACCATTTAATCAATATTTTTTGTTAATTAAATGTGCTTTGACAGACGTGATGACATGTACAAAATTAATGTTGTCTGAATTTCTAATTTTTGAATATTTTATCAAAATAAGTGGGATTCAAAACAGCTGAGTTTAACATTAATTCTCCAAACAAGTTGTTTCACGAGCCTTTTATTCTGTTTCTCCTTACATGAAATATCATAAGCCTGGTCTTTCAGACCACAGTAAATGTGTATCATAAGCCTTATATTTTGTTTCTCTGTTCATGTTGTATTGTAAGCCTTGTATTTCATTTCTCAGTAAATGGACCTTATGGTGTACCATGAGCCTTGTATTCTCTTTCTCCATTCGTGTTGTTTCTTGTATTTGAGTTCTTGGTACATATTTTATTATAAGCATTGTATTTTGGTTCTCAGTAAATGTTGTATCATGAGCCTTGTATTGCATTTCTCATTACATGTTGTATTATGAGCCTTGTATTTTAGTTCTTGGTAAATATTTTACTATAAGCGTTGTATTCTGGTTCTTGTTAAATCTTGTATCATGAGTGTTGTATTCCAGTATTCAGTACATATTTTATCAAGAGCCTTGTATTTTGGTTCTTGGTAAATCTTGTATCATGAGCCTTATATTCTGGTTCTATGTACATGTTGTATCATGAGCAGATCTATGGCAATGATATGCTTTTTCATTTGATTTACAGATCCATTGTAATGTATAGTTATTACAGTTTTTGAAATAAATTGATAAATGTTATTGTGTTTTTTTCACAATGATTTGATATTAATATTATTATACATCATCATTTGAAGTGAGAAATCAGTTTGCTACATATTTACCATCAAGTCTAACAAAACTACATTGCCATAGCAGAATGAATTGATAGAAAAGCTAATGAGTGATGTTGTGACAGAGCTGTAATTAGAATCAGTGTTATATCCTAGTAAACTACAACACTTTTTTTCCCCACAACAGAGTCAAAACAACAAAGACCAGACCTAAATATCTCTTGTTCAGTTACTGTAAAAAGTATATATACAAGTGCCAAGTTTTACTTTACTCAGTTACTTCTTTCTCATTATTTTTTTTAACATCTTTACTTTCCTCTTTTAAGTTAGACCTTTAAACAATTATTTATACTACAATGTACATACACATAAGCTGTCTTTAAACAGACTCGGTAAAAATGCTCTGTCAGCTAAAACACCTAAAATTTATGTACACGACAACAATATAATCTTATTTACGTCACTTGGTAATTAAGGGAAATGGAGATAAATAAAGTATATAGTAAGCTTCTGCTTAAAAAAATGACAAATTACGACTGACGACCATCAAGCACGCTGGTATAGTGACTTACTTTTAACATATCCAGTGAAGACTATAAACCTTACATGTCACTGTATATTAATCATTTAACACACCATCACACATTCATATGCATAAACAACATGTAATTATGATAATTTTCCAGAAAAATTCTTCAGATATCATCTGCAATAACTATTAAAATTATCCTTTTTTGTTATTTCCGTTATTTATATCTAAATATCTCATAGTTATATTAACATTACAACAATCATGCTGGACAAATCAAAAACATTTTAGCAGGGTTACTGTTAAGCTGAAGATTTTGAACAAAAAAAAAGAATCTTTATCCGTTTAATAAATTATGATACATCTCGGCTAGTATGGAGAAGTAAGTACAGTAACTTTATATTGGTAGCTATGTTTAACATGTTTGTCAACAAGTGTGGAGATGTAAATGTAAAATGATACTAGCACACAATAACTTTATATTATATAATGGTAGCTTCTTAATGTTTGTCAATATCTTTAGTTTATAACAAGGAAGCTGTGATCTTATTTTCTCATTTATCACGCAAAATGCAAATCTCTGACATCATGACCCAGTGATAGTAATTGTCTTCACTGTAATACATTGCGGATGTTTAAATATAGAACAAAATTATAGCTTGATCAGTATGCAACTTCTGAGCTAATTATTAACGAGCAATTTGAAAATGAATATTTTAATACATAATTTAGGGAGATCTCCTCTCTAAAGAAAAAATTCAATTGTTATTAAGTGTTTGCTACTTTAAATATCAAGTAATATTACTTTTCTCATAGCATTAAATTAAATGGGGACAAAGCGTTTATATCGAAAACAATGTGTAACAAAAGCCTTAATTAAAATGTGGTCAAACAATTTTAAATTCCTTTTCTTTAGCTTCAACAGTAAAATGTTTAAATGCAGTAAACTGCGAAGGTTCAATAACATAAATATAATTATGTAAAATTCAAATACAGCCATCATTACTTCACATAAAGTAGCTCCGTAAGTATGCAAATCTGAGAACTATTTGGGACCAAACTTTACATTAAAACATTAAGAGTAAGACCAGTGCAGTCGTACCATACTTAGCAATAACAGTTTCATAAATTATTTATTTTACCAGAAGATTAATAAAGTCAAAAATTAATCCTAAACCATTCAGCAATCAAATACTAGGAAAGAAGCCATTTTAAAAAGTTAGTATGATTAAATAATCAGTAACCTTTTATCTGCAAAACGTACATTTTAGAATGCATATTTTTATTTTCAAATTCAAATTCAGTTTTAGAAAGTCATTTCAATCCAAATGCCAGAGTTTAAACTACACCTAAAAGAATTTCTTTAACCTCTTAAATTTAAACTTATACAGTGTAGTAGTTAATAACCTATGGAATATAAACTCTTCAGTGGCTATGAATTATTGACCAGTATACCGTAAACATTGCCTCAATGTAAAAACCCGACCTCCATGTATAATTATTACCTAATAAAAGTTTCCGACTATTTCTGTTCGGGATTCTTTTCAAATATAGAGCTTGTAAACAAAGCTTTATGATAATAATATGAAGGTACACAAATAACTATTGAATTTCAATTATCCATGTACAAATATACTGTGTGAAATACCCGTTCTTTTTCAAAGATTATAATATAATATGTTTCCCCTTTTGACCAGCCTAGTTAAACGTAAACTGGTGAGTCTTGTAAAAAGAACCAACAGCTGCATAAATTTATCTAGTATACTAAGTAACTGGAACTTAAACAGACTATGAAATACTTTAACATTTGAAATATTACGCATCAAATCTGACTAATTCAGCAACCTACAATAGGCTAGACTTTTCTTGCACCTTTTTTAAGCAACCACAAGTTTATCAATATACTAGCTGCTAAATAAAGGTTAAATAATAATAAATTTAGTACAGAAATTCATCTTAGTAATTGTAAGACAGTATAGAAATTTCAACTAAAAAAAAACATTCTGTGAACACATAAGGAAATTTATTTTCACAGACACTGCCAAAGATTCAAAGGAATTGAAATACTACTAGAGCAACAATAACAAGTTATCTTCAGGTACTGACATTTCAAGACGGGTAATGAAGAAAATTTGACATAAAACACACCACTTGTAAATACCTCAAGGGCACATAACTCTAGACTATCTGCTTTAATTAGCCATTGATCAAACAGACAAAGACATTTTGTAAGAAAATGAAAATACAAATGTATGTATTAAGTTTGCAAATCACAAAATTTAGTACTGTAATACCTATAAACATAGCAAGGTAATTATATTCTTATTAAAGATATACTGTCGCTTTTCTTTATTAAATTTGAGGATTTATTAAATGTATTGGAAGGAAAAGAGATGGAGCAATTTCATTTCACTCTTAATTTCTAAACAGGAAGAAACTAAAGTAAATGACCAAATTTATTCAACACTATAAATCATAAGATACGAAGCTATAAGAAAATAAGTGCATAAAAAATAAAATGCCATGTCAGCAGCTCCCCAATTCCATGAGACAATCAAGTCCAAAATTCCTGCTTTTTACATATGTTGAGCCAGTAATCAGTAATTATTCAATGAGAGTAAAGAACTGATTAAATATGGTACTAGTTACAACTGACCAACACTTTAACTTCCAATATTGATACATAATTATGCTTATTATGAAAAAATACTGCAATGAAACTGTAAAAGGAATCAACAACAGCCTCAACCCTTCAAATGTCAGACAGTACATCTATTGTATCAATCTGTTAAAGTTGTCACAACAAGTTAATCAAAGCATCTCTCCACGCTTCCACTAGTTTCAGGTAATGAAGAACTATACATTTCCATTTTTTCATACAAAATAGGTCTTACCTTTCAATAGAGGAAGTTTAACTATTTCTCTATTTTTTGTAATGTTGAAACGTGATGAATTTTGTCGTTTATCCTTTTTCACATGAGGGGGTCCCGTAAATTTCATTTTATTTATAGACGTTGTGGGCGGATGTGTCTCTGAATTTGGGCTTGATCCCTTTTTCTTTGCCTGTAGATATAATCATTATAAAATATTAAATTCTGAGGTTATTAGGCTATATTTTATCTCTCATAGTTGTTTATTTATGACAATTTGACTAACCAGGAAAGAAAAGCTGAGAAAAGAAAACATGAAATGTATCATCTATGTATTGTATAGTGTATAATAATCTATAGCAGATTTCAGTTTCTACTTGAATCAATGCAATGTTTATTTATGTCTAAGTAATAGTACATGAAACAAGTAAGTTACGAGGATATAACACTAGCTGGGGCGACATCAAGGGGTGTTTCCGCTATAAAATGGCGAGGCCGTAAGGTTGAGACAATTTTTATTGCAGAAACATCCCGAGATGTCGCCCCAGCCAGTGGTACCCCCGTAACTAACGAGTTTCATATACTATAACTGTTTTATTGCAATGACATAATGTTATCTTTTTTTGTAATAGAATTCTTTTTTTTTGTAATAGAAACAAATAAATAAATAAATCCTTAGCTACATTACAGTTATTTATGATAAGGCAGTTTTTCAAGTTGTTAAAAAATATACAAAAGACATCCAATGTTAGAGGCGGATTGTAAACTGTTACCAAGATTGATTCAAGATTAAAGGGCTTTTTTTTCAGTGGAAATAATTCATTCAGCGGATATACCTATTGATTAAATGAGAGTAAATTTCATTTCATTAATTATCTTTGTTTATATTTTTTATTGTATTTACATTGTAACTTCCAAATTCCGGAACTTCTAAAATCCGGAAACTTCTGAAAACCGAACATTTTTCAGGGTCCCGAAATTTCTCCTTCTGTTTTCTTTATAATTAAAACCTCTGAATTACGGAACTTCTAAATTCTGAAAACCGAACGATTTTATGGTAAAATTGGGGTTATATCAATTGAAATTTACTTCCAAAATCCGGAAATGAAACGGTGGGAAGGAATATGATACTTGTGATTGTAAAATCTTCAATATGTCAGTATCTTCCAATTAATAATAACCATTTATCTTGACACCTATTACAATCACAACCTGTCAAGCATGTCAAACACTTGATTATAGTGGTATGAAAATTAAAAGACTGAGAAGTATAATAGGATGAAAAACGAAGACTAAAGGTTTATGACTGGCATAACATGATATTTACTAGTCTAAAGGATACATTGTATTAATTAACATTATGCTATTGTATCAACGAATTCAGTTATATATTACCATCATATTTAACATAGTTATAAACTTTTTAAAAGTTCTATAACTTTGTCATTTTATGAACTTAATCAGCTTCAAATATTTTTCGTCATGTTTTCTTAAACAGTTGATGTTAAGTGTTTCTACTTCTTCAGATAATTCCAAACTTCTGAATTCCGGAAACTTCCAAATTCTGAACATTTTGGCTAGTCCCATAGGTGTTCGGTTTTCAGAAGTTACACTGTATATATTTATTTTATTTTATTGATTCCATTTTTTTATTTTATTTTTTTCTACTGGGAATGGTCGTTACCACTGCCCCATTGGAGCCTCTATGAAAAAAAAACTGCATTGATATATACAAGGTGCGAAAAAAACTCGACCGATATATAACAGTCGAGTTTTTTTGCTATATGAATCAATGAAAAATCTGTACTGCTATATATCAATACAGTTTTCAAATGCTCATTGAAGTGTACTGAGTATAATAGGTTAGTAAGAACAAAGGAAAAGTTCTAAACCATGTGATAAATTGCACTAGTCCCTATTTGCAATTAACTAGAACTATATAATACTTAATATACGCATTTTGGGAATAAAATAATTCTTTTTAATTTAAAAATACCAAATATAAACAAGCACAGTACACAGATATATTGTGACACTCCTAATTTTAAACAACCAATTCAAGTTATATAAAGGAAATCTAAAGAAAACTTTTTAAGGACTGGGAATATCATGGTATGTCACAAATACATTTGTATCTATTAAATATTACAAACAAAATACATTAATTAGCATAACCACTGATATCTTGACCATGATGGAGCTGTTACTACAAATCAAAATACCCTATCTCCATTTGTTTACATATTGTCATACAAAACTATGGTTTGTTGATTTAACCTTAAAATGACATTTTTTAATATTAAAATTATCAAGTTTGTTGTTTTATTTTCACATCACTTGCTGATGTGTAGTACTAGAATAATTAAAAACATTCACTGAAAATGCAAGGTAAGCAGTATTTGTGATATTTTCTAAAATCTTTTCTTATCAAGAAATCTAGTATTATTTAATCGATGAAACATAAAGATATTCTAGACAACTAGGTAGGTTCCTGGAGCACAAATGAAAAATAAAGAAGAAGGAGTTGTTACAGCAGATATTTTGATATATAAATACAATTAAACAATGTTAAATTAGATACTAATGGCTAACTTAATTCAGATTGATATTCTCAATTTCGGCCAGTTTGAGACAAGCATAAGTGTGGTACTGTGTACAATAATAATGTGGCAAAACATTACCATGGAATCGTTTCCTTTTAATACAACTGAGAGTTTGAATGAACCTTAAAATATTTTCAGCAATGGACATATTTTTAGTTTAATGGCAATATGTGATGCCATTCTACTTTCACTTTCAACTTTTGAAGATGAGACACTGATACCTGCTTAAAGTTATTTTACTGGTATTCGAAAACAGGAAAAACAAAAACATTAAATGAAAACAACAGATAAAGGTGTGTTGCAGGACAACAACTAGTGACTTGTATCAGACCAATGGTGGACACCTACAATGTACATGACAAAACCGGTTCTCCGTGAATAAACATAAGATAGCCTTGTACCTGCTCAACCCCAATTTTTTATCACAAGTATAATCAAAGCAGTTACGATGTTCTACATTTTTAAACTATATATTCAGTTACAGAAGTCAGAAAAGGTTGTACATTGTGCTCTATTTTTGTACAACTGTTTCTTTTCATTTCAGAAAATTGTGAATAGAATGTCATTGGTGTTTACTGGCAATGCATCTGGCTTCTGGAATTTTATATCCTATTTTAAAACCCACCCTACAGAGAGATTCAGATGCTATAGTAATTGCTTTTAAAATGTCTTGAACTCCAAAGTAAATATATACTTAGTTATTTTGATCTCAAATCAGAACACCTTAATTATCTGGAATGCAAGACAAGAGGGTCTGACCATCTGTTTGTTTGTTTTCCTGTTTTCTTTACCTAGATTTTAACAAATTTTTATGTTGGATTCACCTAAATTGCTTTCCTGGATAACAACTAACGTGTAATTACGAATTTCTCCACAAGTTATCCACTACTTATCCCACATGATTCCTGAGTCAGCAGTGAGAGACAAATAAGATTAGACAATCAGTTGACACAGAGAAATTTTGCTTCTCCTGATTTTTCAATGATTTCTTTGATGTATCCGCCATCTTGACACAATCATGTGATAAGACCATCATCAAGTGATTTGTGTGAAGCCAGTGGTTACTGGCCTTAGCGTAACCGGTGGGCGGAGTTTGTGATATGGGGAAGGAAGTTCTATTGTCCCCTCGATTTTATTTCTTGAATCTCAATCCGCGCCCCTTGGAGTGACATTTTATTTATTAAACTTCAAACTGTGCCCCTGCTAATTAGCGTGTTTTAGCTTGGCGGGGTTGCGGGGCAAAAACACACTCATAAGAAAAGGCGGGGAGTGAAGTTTTATTTATTAAACTTTGCACCATGATAAGAGTGTTTTGCTCTATGCTCCCACAGTTTTATTTCTATGCCAAGGAATTAGAAATAGACGGTAATATTATTCAGGATTTGGCTTTTAAACGCAGCTATTGCCACCTGTTATTGCTTAGTCTCTGGCTTTTAGTGATACAGCTTGTGTTATTGTAGTCCGACATGATATAGAAATTAGAATTGCAGATTATTATACCCGACCTGCCCTCTGTCAATTTAACGGGTGGTTTGTTTACAATTGACCGGTGAAACACGTAGAATTCCGTTACAGCTTAGAATTGCTTTACCATGCATATCAACATAAATAGTAAATATTCCTTTTTGAATGCAACATACAAACAAAGTGAAAACATCAACTAACTCTTATCTTAGTTGAGTAGCTAATTGAAAATTGTCCTACAATTTTTATCGACAAACTATAAAACTAACAACAACCTGCTTTCGCAATTCTAATTCATTTCACCCAACATAAATTGGTATTTTCCTATGTCTACAGCTAAAGTGTTAATTCTGCTTATTCGATAGACCTTATTAGCAACAAACTTATCATATTAATTCGATTTCCGCCATTTTGGATTTCTATGCAAAATCATGGTCGAAAATTTGCTTCCTATAAAAGATTATAACTTGATATTTTTACCTCATTTTCTGCATTTTCAGAATTCTCTTTCCCCGTTGTTTTACTATTACTGTTAGTTTTTGTCGTAGTCTGAAAAATAAGATAGAAGTCAAGCGTGAAAATTGGCATCAAAATAAATTTGACAGTAAACATGCGAAAACAGTGGACGCTTTTCGCGTTTCTGTGTCCTTCATGACCGAATTTTCGCGCAGACCAATTCTAGAAAGGTTTCAATACAAATATATCAATGGACCTACCTTCTCTTTCTTTGGTTTATTTGGCATTTCGGAAAAGAAATCGAGTCCAAAATATAATCACTTTCCCGTTCACCGTATTTCGGAATACTTCACAATAAAACAATAATTTTGATTGGCTTGTTGCGGTCACATGGACCTGCTAGTTTTCGCCGGGTCATGTGACCAAATGTACTATCAATAGATCAAAGTACTAAAATTGCTGTTTCTGTGATATTATGATAATTATTTCTTAGTAATTAATCATTTTGTGAGTAAATCTCCCAATCGATCCAAAGTTGAAACACTAAGATTAATCGAAATCATTATTTCATATCCAATTTAGCCCAGATAGATATAGTGAGGAGAAACGTTAAATATTGAATCTATTGAATCTCTTAAATTATTATCCTTTTGATGTGATTGCCAATCTGGTTTGAAATAAAATTATTTTAATGCGTGAAAATGAAACGCATGCCTAATTTATGCAATACCTAGATCGCCTCTACCTACACTCCGGCGGATTTCTAATTGGCTATTTTATAAAAATTTACGCATATTTTTTCACGAAAAAATTTACATTTTAAGTAAATCTTGAGTATTTTTATCACAATGTCATACCCATGCAGTTTTTTACGACTCTGTAAAAAATCAATTGAAGCGGGACATCATGTGTGAAATTAGCATATGCTCTCGGTGCTCGAGCTCGACCAATCCCGCTCGTCTATGTCTGAAAGGACCGAAAAGTTGCAGTTGGTGCTTTATTATGAAAAAACATCAAACAGGCCAAGAATGAGAATAAACGTTGGAATTACTACAGGTCTAAAGTGTCGTTGTAAAAAGTTGCAATAGGCTATGGTGTGCTGATTTGGAACGCTTTTGTGCGTCGTGTTGTCGATAGCGAAAGAACGGCAAACGGCGCGTTGTCGGACTTAAGTCTTGTCGTCCTGTCGCTAACGATGCACGCCAAACGGCGCGTTGTCGCACGGCGTGTTGTCGCGATGTCACATTGTCGCCCGGCTCAAATCGAAGGATTGGCTTATAAGACAAGCGACAGGGGGACATCGCGACAACGAGCCGCACGACAACGCGTCGTTTGGCGTGCTTTGTTAGCGACTGGACGACAGTGGGACAAAGCACCGTTTGACGCATTTTGCTAGCGACAAGACAACAACACGAAAAGGCGACAAAGACATTGGTTGTGTTGTCGCTATTGACAACACAACGCGCAAAGTGTACCAAATCAGCCACCATAATTAATAGGCCTATATGTTTTATTTATTGATGTGCCGATTTTTATGTGTATAACTTTTCTATTATCAATCCCGACAATTTAAATTTATTTACGAAAATATTGTAAATATTACAATACCTAATTCTCGAACCCACGGAAGTGAACATTGAGTGCCTATAGCCGCCTTAAAAAGATCTTAGAGACGTTAGCATATATGCGTGTTATATATCAATCAGACGTGGACTGTATCTAAACCAATAAGGACAATGATTCTTGGCACCTTTAAATTTACGCCGTGCAGATTGCGACCTACACGTATTTTTCACTAGAAAGCAAAAAAAAAGGGTTGAAAAAAGGTTGTCAACCTGCAATTTCAAATAATATTATAAACTTTTCTACTGTACTATCTCTATTGTACATAACGCCAAACCGCACCTCTAATATTCCAAAGCAAAGAGAAAAAAAAGATATTTTTTTTGTTTTGCATGCCACCAAAATCCTCCTGGAACTTAGTCGGCGTATTCATAAGTTTAGACCAAAAATCAAAATTGTGTAGTTTTATCGTTAATGGTAGTTTAATGATTGACCCGTTAATTAAACAAATTTTAGTTTTGTTTTACATATGACCAAATGATGATATTAAAAGCATATTAATTTAGTCTATCATTATATTCTACTTCAATTTTTTCTAAGAGTAAAAATGATGCTCAATTAGAAATCTGAGTATGGTTTTGTTCCTTTTCCAATTGTTGTCATCCCCATGTTGGCGTTCCAGACATGCGCTTTAAAAGTGACGCCAGTCGGCTTCCTTTTCGGTGTTATAACCGAAAGTCCTACAGGAATCAAAAGGGAATCTCACCACTGGTTGGTTTCAAACCAACGCCCTCCGGATAAGGGTCTGAAGCAGTACACACCCCATACACCAACCGATACGTATCTAAATTTAGTGTTTTTTTTCAATTTTATACAAGTATAAGCCTTAAATTCTGTTGACATCATTTTCATAAAGGCGTATGCTTAGACATACGTCTTATAATGGCCATGACATAGGCTAACATCAATTTAGGTACCCCGGGTATGCGATTAAGATAAATTGCCAAAGACATCATGTTCACAGGATTTCCTTTGCTTAAGTAGTTGTTTCTCACTATTCCATAATAAGATGAACAACTTTTGACCACCTTGAGTAGCACAAAAATGATAAACATACATCGTGTGTGCTATCTAATGACATTGTAGCAATATTATTTTTTTGAATTCAATATATAGGTCTTAGGAGAATAGTATAGAGAAACGTTATAACATTGTGACAATTTCACCCGAGCTTAATAAGTGTGTTAACCTGCCCCAAAACAGTACTTATGCAACATGCAGGGGAACAATTACAATATGTTATCGAAGATATTCTAAATTTCTAATTTATTCACAATATATTATATGAATCTCAAAACATTTTGAATATATGACAATGAAATTATAAATTTGCATGACAAAAATACTTACTTACACTGCTCAAAATCACAATTTCAAAACTTCTGTTTTCATGCAAAATGCAAAGAAACTTCATTGAAGATGGCGGCATTAAATATCAATGTGTGTACGTCATATGTGATGCCATAAATAACATAAAAATGTTACTATTCAAGATGTAACAACTTGACCAATGTAACAACCTTTCCCTGTATGACATGTTTTAACATTGTTCTTATTTGTTTAAAGTATAAACAATCATCACCGTTTCTCCAACAAGTTCACGTTCTCTTCTCTATCTACTTCTTAACCATACGCTGTTTTATACATGGAAAAATAAAACTGTGGCATTGCATCAACGCTTTTCTTATTTATTAGCATTAATAAGAAAGACGTTTTTAGCTTGATTTATTTATTTAGTTAGTTAGTTAGTTAGTTAGTTAGTAAGTTAGTTATTTAGTTAGTTAGTTAGTTAGTTAGTTAGTTAGTTAGTTAGTTAGTTAGTCAGTCAGTCAGTCAGTCAGTCAGTCAGTCAGTCAGTCAGTCAGTCAGTCAGTCATTCAGTGAGTGAGTGAGTGAGTGAGTGAGTGAGTGAGTGAGTTAGTTAGTTAGTTAGTTAGTTAGATATATAATTAGTTAGTTAGTTAGTTAGTTAGTTAGTTAGTTAGTTAGTTAGTTAGTTAGTTAGTTAGTTAGTTAGTTAGTTAGTTAGTTAGTTAGTTAGTTAGTTAGTTAGTTAGTTAGTTAGTCAGAAAAAACTGCCAGACACTTCAAATTATAAACACATAATCGGACAACATACATATGTGATTATGTAAATAGATGGCATGTCCTTCTATTACTTTATATTGATTTTCAAGCCGAAGACATGAACATTATGAACATGCGACACAACAGCTAAGCTTTAAAAGTGGAAGATTTTAAAATGTTTGAAGTAAAACATTTTCAGGGTTTCAGGGTAACATAGTTTATTTAAAAGCCCATAGACCTACTATAACATGACAACACTTTTTTTGCAGTGTAAATAAAGGTTAGATTTTAAAGAAAAGTTCGGAGAAAGCTTAACAGAACTGCACTTGTGAGATAGTTGTGTCTGTAAATTCAGTTCAGATCCCGCCATGTTTGGTACTGTTGGATACAGAATACTAGTAGTCAGTAATGTTTAAATAACTGTCACCCACCTCATATTTCAACAAAAGAACAATTATAGATGCCACAAAAATGGCTTTCACTGAAGAATAACAGGTTTCTTGGTGAAACAAATGTTTGCTTTTAACGACTTAAGACCGATCATGGTATACTTTTAGACGCAAAGCAGGGAATTACTGACGCGAAGGAGTGAAGAGGAGGCGTTCCGATTATCTTAATGAGAAACCAGAAAAGACACAAAAAGGCTCATAAAAATGTCTTTCAATAAAAAAGTGAAATGGAGATCACACACCAGTAGTGAAAAAAAGAAGACGACTTTGTCCGATTTTGCTGATTAGGGACTTGGAAATCTGCATCATCTTTTACCCCTTTAACACCGTTTCATTCAGTATTTAAAGATCATATCAAAATAATTGTAATACAAACTTCATTATAATAGCTAAAGGGTTAAATATTGTACAGAATCCATCTTCCATGAATACGTGATTGGAACGAAATGGGTGGTTAAGAATGATTCAAAGACATCAACCGTTACCACAAAAAAATCTGATAATAACATCAGTTTACATTTTGCTTGCCAACCCATTGCAATACAAACGTCATGAGGATCATCAATTTGACCCTTTCAATTGAAAAAAATCTAAAGACTTGAAACATGTACAGTGTATTGTATATACATGTGTCGCGCTAAAACAACAACAGCAAAACAACAACAAAAATCAAAAACGCCCAAACAGTAAAATTGAGAGTGTTGCAGACTCGGTATGACTGAATAGAGGAAAAAGAACAACAGGGGAACAAAACTCGAACAGAATCTCTTAAGAACGCTAAAACGGCAAAATTGAAAGTGTTGCAGGCTCTGTATGATTAAATAGAAGAAAAAAAGACATAGTCTTTAAATTTAAGACCGTCGAAACGGCGAAGTTGAAAGTGTTGCATGCTCGGTTTGATTGAACCTGTTCATGGACGGTAATGGTAAATGCAAGTTAACGTCAACATCCCCTAGCACCGGCGTCAGCAGAATAAGAATATAACATTTACACATGAAATGAAGAAATTTTGAATTTATAAACATCAGCAGATGAGTTTATACCTAGATGATCAGGGATTCGACAGGGAACCTTGTGAAGTATACACTATAGTTAAAGCTAATGAATCTGGGTATACAGTAGAAGAGTTGGAAATAAAACCAACAATAGTTGTTGTAATGAAGTCAAAACAATCACAAATGAAAGAAAAGATCCAATAAGTGGCATTATTAGAAATGATTAGACAGAGCTTAGTAAGTTTTCAAATCAGACATATAGAAAA